TTGTTTTGTTTCTTTTTGGTGTGTTTGTCTCAAAGACACAATGGATGAAGCTGCATAGGGACAGAAGAGAATTCTCCTGTAGAACTCATGTTTCTAATTAATTTTCTAAATACGTAACAAGGTGCCACAGCAGTAGCATGAATCTAGTTGACCTTTCAAGCTGTAAAGCATACTTATTAAATACCAGGCTGCTTGAAAAACATGCAGAGAATGATTTTCTAGGCTCTTTTCTGTCATGTTGGTTTTGTGAGTGATGGAGTTCTTTTAAGCAGGTGCCTTATCAGTTCAAGGACAGCCAGGGATACAGAGTGGACTGGAGGAAGCATAAATGGCATCTGCCTCCCCATGAAATGTACTTTGGAGAGATCATTAAGCAAGGAACTGGAGGGTGGAATGGCTTTCACAGAGTCATGCATGTTCTTTGGATGCAAGGAGGGAGAGTCTCAGCTTGCTTGCTGGCCTGGATGAAGTGCTGATCACCTGTGGGGCTGATCCCATTGCTGCTTTTGATCTAGTTGTAAGAACCTTCTGAACCCCTTCTGTATTATGTGGAACGGTTCCTCCTTTCCTGTCCATGGAGAAGGTAGCAGATCAGTACAATTTACCCTATAGGTTAGTCAATGAATTTCCATTGCCGAGAAACTTTCTAAGATTCTTCCTCAGGACCATCCCCGCTATGAACTGGCTCGGGGGAAGCCAGTAAATCCCAAAGTGCCAGGAGCTAGAAGCATCAGGCCAAGGCCGTGCTGGAAACAGGACTTATTAGCCTAGATGGAGAATGGCTTAAAAGGCCTTATGTCTCCTGGTTCTGCTGGCTGGTGATCACCTGCTGTAGATGTATCTTGGGTGCCTTTGAGAAGGAAGCCAAACCGAAGCAGGTCACTGATCCAATAACAACCAAGTGACTGGCTTTGCTGTCAACACAGGCAGTTGTCCTGCTTGGGTCCAGTGGGCACACTATGAGCCAAAGTTGTTGATGGGGAGGAGAATTGGTCTGTGGATTCCTTGTTCCATATCACGGTGTTACAGCCCAGTGACGCTGGGGCAGTGGCAAACTTGCATGCCTGACTGATGGGTATCAATCAGATCCACCTGCAACAACTTGTGTGTGAAGACCCCTATGTTATTGAGGAGTGTGTTGAAGGGAAGGCATTTCAGACACTTCTAACTTGCAAAATTCATTCTTTAAGCCAAAAATTGCAAGGTCTTAATCAGGACAACAGACTAGAAGTCTGAGGAGCAGCTGTGGATTCCCAGCGTTTGACATTACATCTTTTGAGGCACTTATTACCCATGTTATAACATGGAAAAAAAAATACCCTGTAAGAACACCAAGTGAGGCAGGAGAAAAGCCCAGGAGTCTGACAGCTGGACTGTAGTGTCCACCCTGCTGTAGTGTCTCCAAGGAGATCCCAATGCAGGGACCATCTGGTTGTGACCCCTGAAACCCAGACCCTGGTGTGTTTGAGAAATGCCAAACAAATCCAGCGTATTGAAGGAAACCCAAGCAGAGTCCTCAGTGAGAACTTAGGGAGGTTGTGGAGTCTCCTACTCTGGAGGTCTTCAAAACCCGCCTGGATGCCACCCTGTGCCACATGCTCTAGGTGTGCCTGCTTGAGCAGGAAGGTTGGACTAGATGATCTGTAGAGGTCCCTTCCAACCTTAAATATTCTGTGAATCTGTGATTCTGTGAATCTGTGACTCATAATGGGACCAAACCTGTACTTTCATGCCTGATAACAAGAGGCTTGGAGAAATCATGATCACAAGCCAGCAGGAGCCGGGCCAAGGCTTAGGCTAAACAGCACTTCATTGCGTCAGGGGTTAGAGCAAGGAGAGATCATCCATGTGAAAAGGGCAGCAGGCCAGTCACACAGAGGCACACAGTCTGTGTCCACAAAGCGATAATGCGGCTTAGCGATGAAATCCCCCAGCAGCCTGCACAAAACCCGCTCTAATTCAACCTGCATGTTTATTTAAGGAGATGCTCATTTCCTGCAGCCTGGCTTCCCCAGGTCCAGTGACCATATAATCACCTGTCAAGTGCTTTGAGCAGTGACAGACCGGAGGAGGGAGCACAGAGTGAGGAGGAATTATCGCTCCAGGTGATTTTTAATATCCAAGAGGCAGTGGCAGACAGGAGAGTGATAGGGAAGTGTGGACATTGGCAGGTATCTGCCAGGAGCTGTCTGTCCTAAAGGCAAACAGATGGGCTATGCAACACACGTTTCAGCGGGAAAGTAACCTGCAACATAACATTCCAGGGGAAAAAAGCACCTAAGGATGAAGATATGTCCAAGGGGGAAAGGAGAGGGAGGTGTCTCTGCAGAATATGAGGGACAGTTTGAGCCAATTGACTGGGCTTAAAGAGGCTATTTGACTTGGGATAAGGAAAGACTGGCCGGAGTCGGGCCTGCTGAGGCCAGACTGCCACAAATTTTGTCCAAGGAGAGTGGAAATGGTCCCTGGGCAGTGCTTTGGGTTGGGGTGCAGATTCCCTCTCCCTGCTCTATTCTGCAACGTTGGGATCTAACTCCTTTCTGTGGTGTCTGAAACTGAAATATAGGAAGTAGTGGCTGAATCTACAGGAAAAATCATTTGCTGTGAAGGTGACTGAGCACTGGAACCAGTTGCCCAGAGAGGCTGTGGATGGAGTCTCCATCCTTAAAGATACTGAAAAGCTGTTTGGTCAGGTTCTGCTAAGCTAGGCTGCTCTAGGTGACCCTGCTTGAACAGGGACACTGCACTAGCTGATCTCTAGACATCCTTTTGAACCTCAAACACTGTGCGATTCTGTGATGTCTGGTGACTAGAGGTTACTAGGAAGTGTTTTTCACAGCTCCTGCACCACTGCAATCCTCTTAATTCTTTGCTTTTTATAGTGGCCACATGCACCTTAAGGGGCCCAGCTGATAAAGAAACTCCTAGAAGAGTTTACTGATATAAGCAGAGATTGTTGCAAAAGCTCTCGACAGCTTATCTTCCCTTTTTGTTTTGGCTGTAGAACCTCAAGCTTTGTACACGTACATTCAGGATTCTCATTAGTGAGAGCCTCTTTCCATACCCTGTGTAAGGATTAAAATCAGCTTCCTCACACTTGAGCTCAGCAGGACCTTTCTTATCTGCTTGTAACCCCTTGTTCCAGTCTGAAGAACTGGATGGCTTAAGGGATATTCCTCCCCATGGCCCCACTTCTAAAACTATCATTTCAGGGCAGTGTAAACTTTTGTTTGAGCTTCTCTTATCTGCAGCCTCAGCAGTGAAGTGTAAGACATAGGGTTGGGATGCCAGGTTCCCTAGACATTCCCTAACCAGGTGCTTCATTTGCATCTGTGCTGTGTTACAATGCAGTAGATATAGAGCACATTTTGGCCTTCTCCCACATAAAATATGACCCACTGAAAGCATCTCAGTGTTGGCATTTAATAGATCCAAGAAACTGAGTCACCTGTGCTCTGAATCTCCAAGTTTAGCATTTCAGTTCAAACAGTGGCTAAACTACAGAGACTCTTCACTTAGTATCATTTCCATAACCTGGGTGAATTTGCCTGGCAAATGTCAGTGCAACCAGTCCCACTGGTGAATCCTTCCTGAAACACAAAACCCATTTTTTAAGTGAACTCCCCAACTTCTGCCATGACCTTGGGAGATGCTGATCATAATTTGCTTCCTCTCCCCTACCCCCGAACCATCCAGGAAAAGATGTTCAGCCTCCAGGGCTGAATGCATTTTGGAAATTAGTTTTTAAATATATTTTGGAAATTATTTTTCTATTTCATTACTCTGCCCAGCATCTCTGAAAAGGTATCTAATGACAAGGAAGTTAATCTTTCACGCCCATTTATTGCTGCTTGGCAATATATTATCAGCAAAAGATAGGGAACACCCCTTACTATCTTTGATTTATTTCTACTTGCATATTTTAATGGCCTCCGGCTGCTGCCCAAATACCCTCTCTCTAAACACAACTGTTTTTTGTAAAGCAAATTTCCCCTGAGCACTTAGAGACCTTAATTGCCCTGACAAGCCTCACTTGGGCCTCCCAGCTGCACATCCTCTGCACCTTGGCCTGGGGTTCCTACTTAAATTCAGGGTGCAGGTGCTTGTTCTGGGCTCTGTTGTGGGTATATCTGTTCTCAGGCCTCTCTACTAAGGTAGAGTCAGAATAGCTGGACCTTAGGCATATGTTGAAGCTACTCCTGTTTCCCTTCATGAAGCTTGAGCTGGCACTGTAAGTAGCTTGTCTCTGTCTTGTACTGCTCCTGACTGGTGTCCCTGGATGGACCTTGTATCTAATTTATTGCCTTATCTTATCTGAGTTTGTTAATGGACAGGCCAGCACTTGGTTCTGTGTGCTCTGGTTGGTGCATGTGCTGTGTGTAGCTGCAGCTCCTCCCCTTCTTTTCTTTAAAAAAGCAGCAGCCTCCTGCTGTTCCCAGGTATCTGAGCCTGCTTGTTTTCCTCAACTGAATCCTGACTGGTAAAAGACAGAGGAGATTGGTTTTTATTTGGAAAAATGAAGAACTTGCCCATATAACATGTCAACAACTGAAATGCTTTGTTCCTTGGGCTGTTGGGTACAGACTGGGTTCTGGTTCAGAAATGACTTTCCTGGGCTTTCATGTTAGCAGGCAGCAAGTCCTAAATGGCTGCTGTTGTCCAGCGTTGCTCTAGATGGATGTGTAAGGCAAACAGTTAGATAGACATGGGTACAAAAAAAGGAAAGATGTAATGTAGGAACGAATGGATGGGTTTACAAGTAGAAGGATGTGTAACATGGATGGTTTAAGGCCTCTGACTCAATTACAGGGTCTCTTGTTCTATTTAAGTGCCTGGGGCTTTGTGCCTAATGTTTCTGAAATAACATGAAAAACTCCTACCTGATTCCAGCAGAGTTTCTGCAGTTACCATCACTGTCTCCATCTATGTATTTTTGAATTCATCTGTCCTGTTCATAATAGGATCTGGCCAAGGAGGGGGATGTCCTGACCTGGCAGAGGAGTGCATGCTCTGACCTAAGGTACCTGACTTTCTCTTGGATCTATTTCTGTCTACTAATATACATTAGTCTCAATTTCCAGAGCATGCTGAGATCCTGCTTTCTGGTTCTTTTGTCTCCTCATCCCCTCCCAATATGGTATTGTGTAATCTGAAAAGGAGTGAGCAGAAAGGTTAAACCAGTAACTGGCATCTAGTGAGAAAGCCATTCCATAACAGCACTGGGGAGTATATTGTTTTGACAGAGCTGGTTTCAGGTTGCCTTTCTTCCTCCATCTTCTTGGGAATGTGGCAATATTATGAGATGCTGGTTTGCAGATTATTCTGTGTGTATTCCCTCTGGTGCCTGTCTCATAAGGTCCTTTGCTGCTTCCAGCTGCAATGTGGAAAGAGAGACTGTGCAGTGAAACATAACAGTTGGTGGGCTCTGAGTCACCAACTTGGCCCCTTTCTGCTGCCAAGCATGCCTAATGTGGGGAAACGGGACTCCATCTTAAGTACCATATACTTGGCTTCTAGAATAACAGTTGGAGATCTGAGTGGTTTTGATCAGATGTTTGAGGTCTAGTGTTTCTGTAGGGACCCCCCTTTCTTTTAAGGGAAGTGCCCAGCAGAGATTGAGATGAGGGCGTAAATTCTCTCAGATCTTGTGCCTTGTTTGTCTAGCAGGGTTTATCTAACAGAGTTGTGGGGAAGGCAAGCTATTCCTGGGGAATAGTCTCAGGAAGAGGGGCAAATGACAAAATACAGAAGGTGTTGGAGTGCTTGGTTTAAGGCCAGATAGAGGTAGGTTGTTTTTGACATCTCAATCTAATTCACTCAACACAGATCTTCAGGGTTGTTCACAAGAGGTTTAGTAAGCTGAGATGGCATCCCAGTCCTTCCTGAGGACCTGGAGGCCTCCTCTTGGAGCTGAGATCACAAATGATGAGACACGGACAGCTGACGTGTCTGGGTTCTGTTCTTTTTAAAGTAGGTTGGTTAACCCATCACCTCCTCAATGTAAGGGGTAGAGCCCTTGGGGCACCAGCTGCAGGCCCTACCCTACTCTGTGAGGATGAGCAAGTACCACTCCCACTACGTGAGCCACGCCAAGTCCTTGGCTGTTTAAGGTGTACGAAGTTTCTTGCCTGAGAAGATTCTGTGATGGGACTTGCAGGTTAGAAAGGTTGTCTTCCCAAGCTAGGAGTCCACAGGTCTTAACGGAGTTGGAGCCTTCTCTGTTTGTACTCCTATCTATTCAGGTTAAACACTACTGAGCAGCTCAGACTCATGTGCTCTGGTTCACAGCCTACCACTTCAGTAGGGAGGTTGTAAGAAGATACGCAGTTTTTCTTCTTTCACTGTGGACTCCCCACATCACCTCTTACTTGCCAGCCAGTGGAGTGTGTTGTTCATAATCTCTCTGATATGAAATACCTTTCTGATTTTTCTTTTTCATTTACCTTCCTTCCCTCCCACTGAGGGCTTTCTAGTGCCTCCCTGGTTCACTTATAATCAGATCAGCTCCCTGCAGGGATCTGCAGAGGGACACTCATCCACATGGTCTAACTGATTGCATTTGTTTCAACACAGGCTGATTGTGAAGAGGTTTTCTCAGGGCTATATGGGAGCTTTGCCTTTGGAAATGGAAATGCCCTGCTAGTTCAATGACTAATCACAGCATTTTGATGAGCCCTGGCTGAGCTTTGCCTAGAGGTTCTTTGTTGGGAGGAGGATGGTGTCTTCCAGGTAGTGTGTCACCTTAGTTTGTGGCTGGGACAGTTACTAGATACAGGATGAAAGATGAAAAGGTGCAAACTTGAATCTGAAGCCAGATGCACTTGAGTTCTGTGGCCTGTCCTCTTCTTTGGGATTGGGCATGCCTGTGGCTGCCTTACTATTTGCTGCTTCTGCAGTTTCCCATTTGAATGGCTGGAGGCCAGATTAGAATTGATCTTTAACAACTCTCACATGGTTCCATGGGGCACTTTCCTCATGACTTACTGAAACTGTTCTAACTTATAAAGCTATGTCCAGCCATATCCTGAATTACTCATTCTTCTGTTTCCAGTAGCCCTCCAACCACCTGCTCAGACCACCCAGGACATGGAAGGGTGGCAGCAGCCTTGAGCCACGGGCCTAGCCTCTAGTTTGGCTGAAGCTTTCCAGCAGGGTTGAAGTTGAGGCCTGCTAGGTGGCCGGGCCCCACCTCAAGGGTAGAGCTCATCTCTTGGGCTCCTTGTTTCATGGGCTTTCCTCACTTTCTCCAGAACAATGAGAATTTCCAGTGCTGCAGAAGTTAGTCTGCTGCTTTTCCCCAGTAGGAAAATGTGTTCATTAAAACACTGTCCCTCATACATTTTCCAGCTAGGTGTATTCCCCCAGTGGGTTTTCCCTGTTTTTTTCAAGTCAACAAAGCCTAGGCCTTCTCCCACTGAGTTCAGCTGCCAACTGCTGTTTCTATAGCAACATCTTCTCCAGGAGCCTGAAATCCCTTTGTAAACACAGTTTGAGGATATGCCCATGAACACATGGTATGGGAGTGCAGACAGCAGGTGCCCCAGAGGGGCACCCAGCAAAGTTGAGAGTCTTTGTGTATCAGTTTAGCTTTGCAGGCATCTCTGAGAGGTTTGTTGTTGCCAGCCCAGCTGGTGTTTTGATGACAGTCCTGCTGCTTTGTGCTTGGAAGAGAAGGGTGAGAAGACCTGTTGCACATCTGAGTGGTTATGGCTGTGGGTAATTGGAGGGCCTTCATGGTGTGGAGCAGGTACCTCTTCAGTCCTTGTCTGCCTCCTGGCAGCCTTTATCCAAAGAAACAGTGATCTAATGCCTGTGGAAACCAATGGGAAAAGTCCCTTGAGATGAATGGGAGTGGATCAGGAATGGGATGAGGAAGGCCTAACGTATGTGGTTTCCACATTCCTTTTCTCACTCCCCTGCCCTGATCAACTCTCCAACAAGTATCTGCAGCCAAATGATGTGCCATTGGGGTAAAAATAGAGGCAATGGGTTCAAATATGGTCTCAAATTAGTGATTTTTATTTTTTATTTTTTCTTATGAAGTCCTCCTGAGTAAATCCAACATGGGGCTAATTTCTCCTGCACAGAACTTTGCTGTTTCCCGGGGAACCTAGAGTCCTTTCTCTGCTTGTGGTACTTTATTGCATAATGTTGAATGCATTTGCTAATGCATATCTTTGCATGTGAAGACACCAAAAATGGATTAATACAAACTAAAGCTGATCAGAGACAAGTCTACCTTTAGTAATATAGATATTCATCTAGGGCTTGATTGTTTATGTACCTGGAATGTAGTGGCTTTCTCAAACTGTATGGGACTACTCAGGCATATCTTTCTATGCTTGTGTATATGGAATTTCCTCTAAGAATTCAGGCCAAAAACTATTTCCCTTCCTTGTGCATAGAATACAAGAAGGGGATGGAATATGACCTACATGGTTGTGCTGAAGAAGGTTTCTGGTCCACTGTCGTCACTGTGACCAGCAAGCAATGACCAGATACCCACACTGAGTTGAGGTGACAGGAAAGCAATTTTTTCCCAGAGAAAAAAATGTATTCAAGTGCTTAGAATTGGATATTTTAGCAAAAGGCATCTATCAAAGTGTCAACTTCTATTGTCCCCAAGCAGACATGGCTGACTGTACACCTGAATTACCAGAGTCAAGCTGCTGGATTACTTGAACCACATCAGAAGAAAAATCTCCATCCACAATTTCTCCTTAATAAACCCTTTCTGGAATTCTTAATACTGATGGTGCTTGCCTGTGCAGATAATTTGGTTTAGCCACTGCCCAGGTCAGTGGTTGTGGCAAAGTTGAGTGAATGGGTTTGAGGAGAGGGAAGTTATGAGTGTTTTGGCACTTAATTGCTTTCATGAAAGGGAGCAGAAGGCTGGGGGAGAGCAGCCTCCCTGGTGTAGGTATGCAAGGCAATTGACTGGCAATTATGCTGATTATTCATCTTTTAACTGGAAGGAGGAAAACTCTGGAGGAGGCTGAGATTGCTAATTTTCCTCCTGAGACAGGTGCAGAAAGGTCTCTTAGAGCAAAATCCATCCTCTGGAGAGCTCTCCTTCAGCCTAGTTGAGGCAGCTCAAATAACACAAACCCAGGAAACTGATCCTGGAGTTAATGTCACTTGGCAAGGTGACAGTATTGTCTCCGCATAGACATGGAGCTACCTTTGTGACAGTTGAGGAGCTCCCCAAGCCATGCCTCAGTTTACCCTTTCCCCTGTGGGATGGATCTAGCAGTCTCCTCAAACAGGCTTGAGAATGGATTGTTCTGCAAAGCAGGGGACAGTCACCTCTAGGTGACAAGATCCTCTCTGCCTAACTAGTGTGGGGCCTTTCCCAGGCAGCCCTCGCTGCAGGGAGCTGTGTTTATTCATCAGGAGCTTTGTCTGCTGCGAGCAGCTTGCAGGAGGGCAAGGGGGAAGAGACAGTTGTTGCTGGGAGACAGGGAATGACAAGGGTTGAAGTCATCTCCCTGTTTTTTCTCAGTCTTGCAACTGTCTGTACCTGTGAAAAATGGACTCAGAGTAAAGATATAGGAGAGGGATGTGTGAAAACGTTGACCTTGGAGACGCTGGAAGTGTGACTGTTTTGGTGACTTCATTTATTTTGCTGCTTTGCTTAAATATAAGGGTGTTGCCGTTTGGTTTACACTTACCTTCTGGCCAGGTTTTAGTTTTCTGCCTCTGGTGTGGATTTTCTTTTGCTATAATTTTATTTCCGTTGTGGCTTATTGCCTTAGAGACCCTTCCTCAATGCAGACCTTGTAGGTCCTAGAGAAAGAAAGAAAAAAACAAAGTAGGTTTCTGTCCTGAGGAACAGGGAAGATCCTGCTGCCCACAGGGAATTGCTGGGTTTGGCCAAATGATTCCAAAGTTACAAGGGTGGATTGACATGCAGGCAGTTACATGTATGGCATGCTGCTGTATTTTTTCAGAAAACGCAGTTAATAACAGTAATAAAGCCAGCAGCTTTACTGCTATTATGATGGATCAGCATGCTGTCATGCTCTGATGGCAAAACACTTCAATCCAGGCATGCAGAGGTGATGGCTACAAGGAGAGACATATGTTCCTGGTGTATTATTTCTATTGTTACTAATAGCAGTGTTTTTAAAAGCCTTTCATTTCCTGATCACACCTTTAAGTGACAAAAACCTGTGTCTGTACAATGAGGGGGCATGAGAGATGAAAAGAAGGCAGGAGGTTGGGACAACCTTTCAGACAGCTGCTGCTTAAACTCGCTGTCTGCTGGTGAAGTGAGTTGTGCTATTGAGAACTTGGTGTCCCTGCAAAACTACTTCATGTTTAACCTTCTGTGGCTGCTAGCTGCATGAAGGTTGTGCTGAGAAAGTCCTGCCATCTTGGTTAGCTTCTCATATGAGCTGTTGTGAAGATCTGCATGGATTTTAGCAGATTAACCAAGCCCTTTCTGTGTTGATTTTTTTTCAAGCAAGAAGTGACTTAGCTGTTTTCTTTGCTTCCCTGAGTGCCACCGTTGACATGCACCTGTCTCCTGAAGCCTAGAGCTCCATGCCACCCATCTACCAGAGGCACAAGGTGGAGGGGTGATGCTGAATCTTTCCATGCTGCCCTCAGCTGGGTCAGTTCTGCCTAGCCAAAGCAAGCAGGGGGTTGCATTTGCTGCCTGTTGCGAGTGGGGTGTTTTTAGGGATGCAGAACTGTGCTTCCCTTTGTCCAAATCTCTGCTTTTTCCTGAGGGTTGTTCAGCTCCTGTCTGCAAGGGGTGACCAGACATTCTCCATCCATGCCAGGCTCACCTCAGGCATCCTATGGATGGGATGTGCTGTTGCTATGTTGACTGGCTTGGTAGTAAGAACCTCTGGCCTTAATTGAGCCCCATTAAGTTGTCAGGTATCTCCTGTGGGTTAAGAACAGTCCTTGTCAGGCCCGAGAGTTTGCCCGGGGTCTATTAGCTTGGGAATGCAACAATTTCCAAGCCCTCAGTTATGTGCTTGGAAATCATCATAGGCTGTTGAATCCAAGATTTTTCTCAGGAAAGATCAGATGGAAACAGTGATCTCGGTGCTGAGACTTTTGGCATGACACCTTCTGTCTCTAAGCATGAGAGAAGTGTCATCCAGCAATGCCAGCAGAGTGCACCTGGGTCTAGGCAGCTCAATTTCAAATTGCTGATGTTTTGTAATAGGGGATGGCTTTCTGCTTTTCTCAAGGGTCGAAGGAAGAGCAATCTCTCCTGAAGATCAAAACAAAGTAGATTGGAGTGAGAGTTGAGCCCTGTATAAGCTTTGCCCCCTCTAGGGAAGCAGAGGGATACACATATTTGCTCTCCCTTTTCAAAGAAAAGGTGAAGGAGGCAGGTTTGGAGGCAGCAAGGCAGAGTTCAGGACAGAGCTACGTGTGTGGGTGGAAGCACTGACAACCAAGAGACCTCCAGTCTAATAGAAAATGCAGTCTGATGTCTGTGTCTAACAGATTAGTGGTTTCAATGCTGACAAATGCGTGGAGAAAATGCCCCAATCCAGCAACTGTTCCATGCAAGATCAGTTCCCAACATGAGAGCAAGGGGCCTGCTTGTGTGTTTAAAGCTAAATGTGCACCTAAGCTTTGGCTGAAGCAGAACCAACCATTAAAGGAGGGTGATGCCCAGCCCTAGTCTGCAAAGTCTTCCCCTTATCAATCTCCCAGTGGTAAATCTAAGGTTTTTCTTTCTGGGGTGTTTGTAGAGGGGCACTGCTCCTGGGCCAAGGCCTGTTGGAGCTGAATATGCAATATCACTGTCCTCTGACCTTCACGAGCCATAGCCAGTGTGTTTGCTTCTGTTTGAACTGCAGGTCAAAGCAAAAGTGACAGCTGCCTTGATGTGCAAAGTGCTTGGAGCACCAGCTGGAAGTGCTGAAGGAAGAAAGAAACCAGTTTTGTTTGAGTGGAGTAAATGGGAAAGGAGACTTCAAAAAAAAAGCATCCTGGCATGTTGATATGCTGCATTGGTTTCAGTGATCAAAGGTGACAGTGATACTAGGAGAGGAGCTGCTTTAAATAAGTGGGTTTCATCTTAATTGCATCTTTCCTAATGCCTGTGTAACTGTTGTGTGAGAAATCTTCCTGAGCCAGAGTCTGACTGACAGGGTGGAGCCACTGTCTGTGATATCAAGAGGGGAAGGGGGAGAGTGGTGCTGTATCCAAGCTTGAAGGAAGGCTGAGATCAGGTGGGTCACAGGTGTGTGTGTGTGTCCCTTACAGGCATCTGTCCTGAAGTCTGTGCTTCAAGATCTCTTGGGGAGAGGTGTCCAGAGGATGGACCTCCAGGGAAAAGCAGCAGCTTATGCAGGAAGGCACTAGGGACTGCAGGCAGCCCATGGGGAATTGTTTGCTGTTGTACCTGTGAGGGAGAAAGGGATAAGACCAGTGGTGCCTTTGCTACTTGCTTGGTCAGGTTCACGGCCTGCCACAGGCAGGGCTTGGAGCTTCCTCAGGCTCCTGGGCTGAGCCTTCTTGGTCCCTCTAGCCAAGAGGTTTCTCCAAGTGCCTGTCCCCATGCAGCTTGGAGATGTCCCATGCAAACAGAGCTGGGCCACTGCACTGCTTGCAGGAACAGATGTGCAGGGCACCAGGAAGCCTGCTGGGGACTTGGGCAATAACCCTCTAGTCCTTAAAGCCCCTGGCTTCTGTCCTTTCCCCAGGCTCTATCCCCTCTGTTTGTTTTGAGCTGATGATATGGGCCCTTGTGCACAGAAATAGTCTTTTGGCTCCTTCCCTGTCTTAGATATGAAAGCAAGCTGATGGAGCACAGAGAAATTATCTAGTGTGGAATAGCAGGGATGAGCAGGATGTAGGGGTGTAAGGGTAAGGATGACTTCTGCTTCCATAAAGCCCTAGGGCTGAACCTCCCATGGGAATACAATTTCACTGCCGTAAATACCTTCTTCTGGCTAACCCTGCCTGCAGCCAGACTGAGGATGAAACACTCCAGAGTGACTCTGACTCCATCACAGATCCAGGACATTCCTCTGCCAAGTCAGTGGTGATGGGAAAAGCAAGGTGGTCCCAGGGGCACAGCTGACAAGGGCACGGGGTGCTGGCTTGCTTAGCGCAAGCTGCCGTGGGGGTTGATGGGCTTCAAAGAGGCTGAAAAAGCAGTTTTGGACAGGTTATGAAGTATTTGCTGTCTTTTGACTTTCGCCTGCTGGCAAAAATGTGCTTTTCAAGGAATATTATTTTGCAGCAGCTGTCCTGTGGCTGTTGGGTTGGGTATGAAGCTGTCATGACAGTGAAGATGCTTGTTCATTTTGCTCTGCTATACTCAGTCAGCCTCCCCATTGCCTATATCCAGAGCTTACAGATCACGAGAGACTGGAGTGAAGGTCCAAGCTCCTGTGTGGGGGCTGTCCCCCCCTCTTGCCTTGCAATATCTCAGTGCCTTGGGTCAGATCCCAGCTGAGCTGCCCGTTTGGCTGGGCTGGGTGTGGGAATGCAGCACGAGTCAAAGGCAGCCCCGCTCTGCGTGCTGGAGGAGGATGGGGACAGTTACATAAGCTGACACGCTGTCCTCCAGCCCGCTCCCGAATCGGCATTCATGCTGCACAGCCCCATTATTGGGCTTGCAAATGACACTAATTTCCCTTCCCAAGCCCTCCCTATAATTTAGCAGCGATGTCCTGTACTCGGATATTATTAGCTGTGTCTTATGTGAACGGTTGCCCTCTTTTTGTTGTGGGGAGGGGGAGATGTAATGGATTTGAGAGGCAGACCCAGCCTGAGTGCCTTCATCTTCATTTTTTAATTGACCTAGCTGGCAGGGGTTGGAATAGTATTAAATAGACTCTGCTTAAGGCAGGCTTATTCTTCCTTTTCCATCATTATCTCCTTCAAGAGGATCTCCAAACCTCTGTGCTATTGCAGAAAACTCCTTTAGGAAGGGAACTGGGCAGGCAGCAGATGATGTTGGGCTTTCAGCCTTCTAGGTAGCTGTGACCTCTTTCAAGACCCATCTCCTTATGAGGCTCAAAGCCATCCAGCTCTTTCATTCTACCCTTTCCCTTGAGGCTTTATTTTGCTAGCCCAGATACAAAGTGGCCTCAAATCTGATGTCCACACATACACATGTGCCTGTCCTACCAAGAGCAGGAGGGAAAAGAGATAAAAACTCTAGGTGTTCCTGCTTGCCCCAACCCATTGTTGTCAGTGCCATGAACAGCTTTGCATGTGCTACTTCATCTTCCTGTGTTTTGTAACATATGACTCATCTCCTAGCCAGTGTACCACACTTCCCACCATTATAGGATGCTAAAGAGAGGGCTCTTAGTGGCTTAAAAGCCTGTGCTATCAATTGGCTTCCATTCCTCCTACTTTTCCACCATAAAGCACGTGAGCCAATTGTCACATGCTTAGTCACTGCTTCTCCAGTGCTTGTCCTTACTGCAGCAAATGGAGATGAGCACAAGAGGCTTCTACACCAGCAGGGTGGTCCCTTGAGCCTCTCTAGGTTACATCAAGTAACCTGTAGCTGGCATGTGAGTGGAGGAAAGGTGGTCTTCAGGTGTAGGATGCCTAGTGGAGGAATCTATATACCATCTATACTCTTCTTTTTGCCCCTGACCACATTAGGAGGTAGTTCAGTACTTGATACCATTACTTGTCCTTTAAAAAATCTCCTGCTTTAGAAATTTCCTGCTCTCTTCTGTTGTATATGGCCAGGACCCAGTTCCCTCTGGCCAAGATCAGGGCAGAAAGGCAGAGAGTGAGACTGAATTGATAATAGATGCAATCTCTTGTTTGCTGGCGCTGGAGGAGGCTATTTTAAATTTGGCTTTGTCTCCTCTGACACTGAAGAGAAAATGCTCTCATTCCTCCCACATAGGCATCAGGATTCATCCTGGCTATAGATGAGGAATCAATGCTCTAGCATTGTTAACTTTCTCTGTGTAGCTGTATTCAGCAGTGCCATGGATTTGCCAAAGGGATTTGCATCTGGCTGAGTAAACATTAGACTTTAGAGAGTGAATCTCTTAGAAGATCATTAAAGACTTAGAAAACCGTCTTCTGTTGACCCTGTTCTTTCTGATTACCACCTTTCCTTGAACATGTGCTCAGCTCAAAGCAGGGATCGTAGAGGTTGTCTCTCAGCTCAGTTTCAGCAAGAAAGTAGAATTCTTGATGGTAATTAAAAAAAACTAAGGCTTTGCTACAGGCCTTCTCCACTGGTAACCTAGGAACTTATTAATGAAACCTTTTCTAAGCTTCAGATTTTTAAACCAGGAAGAGTTGTTAAGCTAGGCTCTGTAACAAAGCGAGGGGAAACTCCCCACCTAGACTGGGTTGGTTTGACTTGTGCTGTTATTTCATCTGGCTTTGATTCAGCTCTCATGAGAAGATACCTCAGCTGGACCCTGCTCCTGCCCTTCATCACCTGAGTTGATCTACCAAGTGGCTTCAAAGCTTTGGTGTTCAGCAGAGATCTCTTTGAAGCTTCCTGTGTTCACCTGAGGTTGCAAAAAATGAATGAAGAGAACTAACTCAATGGGCTTTTTTGAAACATCTGATGGAGATGACCTCTACTAGTTCCATGAGGGCTCACCAGTGTATCTCCTGGGGGCTTTGGGAGGATTCACCAAACTCCTCTTGAGAGGATTCAAGCTGTGGGAGTAGAGGGCAAAGCACTAGCCCCAAGGAAGCCCTGGCAAGGGAGCATATGGTGGCCTGTGAGATCTTAAGGTAGGTTCCTGGTGCTCAGCTGAAGGAGTTTCTGAGGAAGGGCTGGAAGATGGGGAGGGTCTCATGAAGATCAGCTGTGCTGAGGTTTTGTTCTATGCAAGGTGGAGGAGTAAAGAGTTGGAGAAGCCTGAACATGCCCGACCCACCTAAAACCCAGTGTTTTCCAAGAGCCTTCTGCTGTGGAGGACTTCTCAGTGCTACCTGAGACACCTTGCAGCTAGGTATCTCCCAGCACAATCCAGATAACAGGGTGGAATTCTCTCTGTGTTCACTGGTGGAAACTGGTGAAACAGCAAGTACTGTGGGGAGCAAATCTGGAAGAGCCTTTTCAGCAGCAGAGCTGAGACCTGGCTCCCTGCAGCAGCTCAGGGCCAGCTGAGAGGCTGCTCGCCTGAGTAGACAGTCTTTTCAAGACACTGCTCTTGTTGGAGCAGGTTATAAGCCTGCAAAAGAAAGCCATCTGTCTGAGTTGAAGACATCAAAAGCTGGAGAATCCACTGCTTTCTGGGCAGATTGTTCCAGCAGTTGGTCCTTACTGGAAAAATACCAAAAAAAACACCTGTTTACAGTTTTTGGCTTTGAAATGTGGATGTAGATATTTATACATGATACCCAGGTCACCTAATTTCCCTCTCTGGAGGGTGATTGATTACAGGAAGTTGAACTAGGGCCAAGAAGGGCAAAGGGAGGAGTAGCAGGAGACTGGTGCCAGGAGAGCCTGCTTGGTGTTGCTGTGTGATATCAAAGCTGTTCAAAAATGTCCATCTGGAGGGATGTGGTGGTGTCAGCACCTCTTTCCTGGCTGAGAAGCTGCTGGAGGCTGGATTAGGACTAGTTTCACTAGCTCTTGGTATATTAAGAAACCTCTGAAATAAGCAAGCAAGCGCATGGAGGAGACAAGCTCTCATCAGTGATTATCACGGCTCTGATCAGGGCTGCTCTGTAATTGCATCGCCGTTGTCAGCAGTCACGAGAAGCTCTTCTCTGCTGCTGAAACCAGCTGGGGTGCCCCTTGGTGGAGGGGGAGCCCTGGGCCAGCCCTCGCTGCGTCCCCTGCCTCTGACCTGCCTGTCAGCAAAGGCAATTGGGGTGTTGGGGTCTGGAGGCTCTGCACATCCCTGCTCTTGGGCAGATCTCTGCCAGGGCAGCGGGGTGTTGTCTGCCAGATGTGCCTCTTAACCAGGCAGATGTGCTGACTAGGCAGTAACATCTCCTGGGGACGGGCAGGTCTATCTTCTCCAAAAGTTTTGGCAAGTAGATATTGGATGTGCTGCTCTCAGGTGTGCACAAGGTGGTGGAGCAGGGTCCTGCTAAAGGGCAGGTGATGTTGCAGTGTCCTTGGCATGTCCCTAGGCTTTACAAATTGCTGGCAGGACCTGGAAAATGAGAAGGCAAATTATCCAGCTTCCTTCCTGTCTTTGTAGCCTGGCATGATGTGAGAAGAAAGATCCTACAGCTTGGGCCTGGTGTGGGGAGAAGAGGAGGCTGTCCAGAGACAGCTGGAGCATGAGGCACACGAAGGATCCCCCTCTTGTTCATTCTTCTACTCAGCCCTGACCCAAGGGGGCTTTTTTTTTGAGGAAGACTTCCTAGAGAATGTACCCCACGGAGCAGGAAGGTGGGGAGATGGCTGAGGGGAGCAGTGAGGGCAGAAAAATGAATCAGTGTCCCAGGGAAGTGGGTGGATTGGGTGGTTGCTTAGGATGCCTTCCCCTCTTGCATTTTTCAAATGTATTGAATTTTGACACACATGAAATGTCTTCTGGTCTCTTAATGACCAATACAATCCTATCATTTTTTTAATGGCTAGATTATCTAGATGTTTCTAACAGCTAGAAATTGGTTTTAATGCAGCTCCAACCATTTTTATCAGATGGGAATCTTGCCTGTTGTGCCTGGGGTTTAAAAAAATCTAAGCCTGTGGACATCACCTTCTCTTTGTTCAGAGAATAACTTCTCTCAAGGGAATTTGCACTTTTTTTGTGTCTCTTTGCCCAAGAATTCAATTTGTGATTGTTGTTGTCTTTGGATCTTATTTCACAGAATAAAAATTCCAGCTTGGGAAGAAGCAGCACTCCAAGCATGGCAGTCTTTGCAAGAGGTGATTTTTTTTCCACCTGCAGAAGAACACTTTACCAAAGCTTGTCATGTATATCCCATGACTTTTCTTTTTTTCAGTCAGGAAATAAATAACACTGACAGCCTCCTAATCTCAAATCAAATGCATCTTGATTGAGCATAACAAGGGGAAAATTGATGGGATTGATAGGAGCAGTGTCTCGGGGATGTATGTCCCCAATCCTGCCAGGCACTGAGCTCCTCCAGGGAAATCCTAGATGTTCCCTGCCCTGGATGGACAGGGAGCCCTCAGTGTCACTTGTGCAGATGCCAGGTGAGCAGCCCCTGCAGTCTCTGAACTTGTTGCACCTGGGAGGTGGTGGTTGCTCTTGCACCAGAGTGTTTCAAGCCAGGGAGGCCAATTACTTGACTCGCTGAGCAATCTGGAAGCGATTTCATGCTCCCTGGGTGTACCAAAGCCATGCTGGAGAACCCATCCTTTCAGAACACGGATGCTAGACATCAAACAGGACTTGAAGTTTACAGCATTTAATTTCCCATTTAGCTGAGGCAATTAAAAACATCACCATATAGCACAGCTGATTTCCCCCTGCATTTTTATTTGCTTGTGACATTAAAGAGTGGCTCAGAAGCAATTACATCCATCCCGCAGCAGCGTCCTACTGCAGCGTGAACAAACCTGGCTGCTTGCCTTGTCAAGGGCATCTGAACATCTCTGCAATTACACAGCCCCAAAAGCTTGGGCTCTAGGAGGGTGCCTTGGCCCCTCTGAAGAACAAGGCAGCCCTGAAAGGACAGCACAGGCTCCAGGAGACAGCATTGCTAATCTCCATAGGAGGTGGCTATTCTCCTATTGATGTAGACAAGGCAGGGAGAGAAGGAGGATAAAAGTGATTCTTTTGGACAGTGCTGCTGGTGGGGGTGGGAGGATGCAGAGAAGGTGAAGTCAGACTCTTCTTGGAGGTGCCATGTGGAAGAAAGGTGATGCACAATCTGCAACAAATAAAATTCTGGTTGCATATTAGCATAAAATAATATACCCTGAGAGCAGTCACAGGCTGGCAGAGGGGTCCTGAGAAGCTGGGGAATCACCATCCTTAGAGATACTCAAAAGTTGCCTGGACAAGGCCTTGGGCAGTGCATTCTAAGCTGCCTCTGTTTTGAGGTAGGTTGAACCAGAGACCTCCAGAGGTTCTTTCCAGCCTGATTTCTGTAGTCCAATGAATAAGTCATGTCTGGGCACAATACCAACAAGACTGAGGGATCCAGTCCTCATGTTAATGGTCAGGGTTATGCACAATGGGAGTGCAACTAGGAATATTTGCCTTCACCTCCTGCTGATGGATATATCCTACTAGAGATGGGACCAGAGCTTTCCTGTGCCTTTCTGGAGTGTTTTCTCCATGCTTGTGTGCAGATGTGGTTGTGATTGGATCTACTGGGTGGAGGCCAGCTGGTGCTTGCAGCCTCCTTGGCCAGTGCTGGAGAGATGGGGAGTGCTGGTGCCCTTCCTTGAACTTGGCTGCTGGGGAGTTGCTCTTGTCTGAAGGGGACGCAGACCGTGTGGCAGCATCTGTGCTTTGCACAAGGCAGCATTGACAGCGATAAGTATCTGGAGAAGGTGGCAGTCTGTTTTGGCCTAGATATTGCATGTGTGTTTCAAGGTTCCAGCTTCTCCTTTCCAAAATGGGGAGTAAATGCCACGTGGGGAACACATGGATGACTGTATATAGGCTGGGAGAGGTTCAGATTTGATGGAGAAGGCTGCCAAGTTCCTACCTACTGAAGGTAGAATAGAAATAATCCAGCTCTTCACCAGCATACAAAGTGTGCTCCCCTCTGGCTGGCCGTTTCCTGCTCCATAACGCTTTCTTAGGCTGCATCTTGGTGTTTACTGTCCATGTTGGTGCCTGTGGGACTTGAAAGTGAGATTTGTTCCATTCAGTTATCTCGGGGAGCTGTAAAACTCCTCGGCAGAGGTGGCTGTTTCATTCCATTTGTTCCCCAGCAGCCGACAGGTTTTTAACCAAGTAATTAAGGGTTGGTTTTGTGTGTACCTGCGAATCAACCAGTGAGGCAGAGATAAGGTAATAGCAACACAGCAGGTACCCCACTGTTATTTGTGGCTATGAATTAATCAGAGGCACTACAGCTCTGCGAACAGTGCATTGATCATTTGCTCCAACAATATCAGCTAGCTATGCTCTTTCCCCCTCTATAAATACTTTGGAGATTGCAGACTTAATGAGTACAAGTCCAGGCTCTTCCCAGAACACTAATAGCATCCATTTTAAAGTGCCCAGCCCTGTATTTTTGTGAACAGTCCCTCACTGTTAACAACCCAATTCTGGGGTTTGCTAAGAGACTGAACTCTCCATTTCACAGGAGACCCCAAGCTGTTTCCTCAGGGTCCAGGGAGGATTAAAAATAGCTGCAAGCGAATGGTGCTCACTTGATGAATAAGGTTTTGATGCTGTCCTGCAGTGGCTGCCACCTGGCACTGTCTTCTTTAAGAGCTGTATCATGGATTTTGTGAAAACTTGTGGTTTTGGCAAAGTCTAAGGGATAAGTATCTCACCACCTTTACTTATTTTTGAAGGTCTGTGGTGATGGGGTGGAAAAAGCCCCACACTGGGAAATGAGGTCAGATTGCCGTTAATGATTCTGAGAGAGAGGAGAGTGGCAGGGAAAGAGGAGGAGAAAAAGTGGATAATTAGTTTTTTGAAGCCAAGCATAGTTTTCTGAATGTTTAAAATACCATCTCTTGGGTGAGGGAAGGAAGAAGATTCAAGACTGACCATTGCTTTTCCCAAGGCAGGGCAAGCCTATGCTTTGGGGGCTCTAACTCTCTATATAGTTAGTCTAAGGATCCTGTCTCTGCCTGCAGACCACAGTGCTTCTAAAAGCTCACAGGGGAATTAAACCTTTCTCTGTCCACCAGATAGCAACACCTCATGGGGCTGGTATAAAACCTTGCTGGTGCATTTAATATGGGATCTTCTTAGGTGAACAACAGACACATTCCCCAACATCTACCCCCGAGAATGTGAATGGCCAACTCTGAGATGCAAAATCCCTACAAGATGCATGAAAGAAAGAGGCCAAAATTAATGTGTCCTGCCCTTTTCTGCTCCATGACGCAGGAACTGGTGGCATGTTGGGCACAAATGGGTCCTGCAGCCAACACGCACAGCAGCAAGCCCCCTCAGCCATGGTATGAGTGCAGTGGGGACAGGATGACACCAACTCGTGCAAAACCAGGCTCTGTCACTTGTGCTTTGCAGAAAACCAGCACTGATGGGGCTGAGTAAGCAGCCTGAGGTACATGCCCAGCAGGAGCTTCTCCATCTGAAGCCCATCAGATGAGCAGGGATGCAGATGGGCCGGCAGGCCGGAGCGCTCTCCACGTGGCTGCTGTAACGTGCTCTCATCCCCGCCTAGTTTCCCAGAACTCTGATTAAACACAACTGTGCACGAGCTGCACCTTAGCAGCACGTTTCCTTCACCTCTTGGCAGATGCTTGGGAAAGAGTCCCTGATGTCAAATGCTGGTTTGGGCAACTTTTCTTTTTTTCTTAGGGAAAAAGTGGTGTACTCGAAAGGTAAGAGCAGGTTTAGAGAACAAAACTTATGCTTTGCTCAGATTCACTAGCTCTTACTGAAATCACTATGCTCCATTTTTTTTTAAGGCTTTGGGCTTTATCTGCTCTTTAAAACAGGGTTAATGATCTCTATGCATTTAGACTGGAAACTTTTCCATGTCAAACCTGTCTCCTAGTTTGTCCAGCTGGTAATTGGTAGTATAATTCTTAGATGGAAACTCTGTACGTGATGTTTTGCAAGAAACAGTAGAGAAAATTCCTCTCTGTCCCTAATGATTTGAATAGGCAGGATTATTCACTCCAGTTTCCCACCCAAACAAGTATGGGAAACAGCTGTCACAACCAATATACTGTTCAAGAGCTGAAAAATCTTTCCTACCGTGAACTGAGTTGAAAAGCTAAATATTGACTTTTGTCACACACCCAAAGTAGTTAACTCTCAGCATGGATCAAGTAACGTGTTTCCTTTTGATACGTTGGTATATTTAACTTTTTGTTTAATCTACTTTTTATTAAGTAAATTGATTTAAAATTAATAAGAAAAATTAAAAGTTTAAATTTAAAGTATGATGATGTATAAAATCAAATTTTCTTCTTATTTTTTGAAACACTTTAAAACAGAAAACTTGCCCTGATTTGTAATGCTTTTCCATGGTTTTGCATGTGAGTGATGATAGTTGTCCTGAGGAGGATTTTACAAACATTTGGCAGGGTGTCCTATGTCTGGCTTGTCCATCTTTCTGCAGATCTGGTGTCCCGTCACCTCCATCCCATGGGATGGAAGAGGGGCTGTCTGCAGGGGTGAACTTGCGCTCCCCGACTCGGGAGGAACTGAAGATGCTGCCAGCACTCAAGTCACTTAAAGGTATTTTGCTGTTTTTGGGCCAGTGCAAAGACTTGCAGCCAGTTATTTCAGCTGTTTCACTCTCCCACTCCCACCAGTGCAGCAAGCTCCTGCAGCTGAACCTTGCTCTTTCTAACCTTGCATGTTTCCTATCAGCAGGTTCTTGAGGGATTCTCCTTTTGTTTTCTTTTAAAACAGAGGTTACGCTGCTTTTCTGGGAGTTCTCTCAATACTGTGTTAACCCTGGTCATAGTTTAGGGAAGAAACACACAGAAAGGGAAAATCTGGAAAGGCTGGAAGTGTTTTCATGGCTGCAACCTGTCATGGGAGGAATGAAGTGCTCTAAGAGCACCTAACAGATGCTCCAAGGCTTGGCACGGGCCAGGAGATTTTTCATGAGAATAATAGGAGAGGTCACTGATAGAGTCTGTCAGGGGTGGTAGAGTTTATTTACTAGCAAACGCTCATTGCTGTACTGACTTTTTCCAATCAAGTGCAGTCCAAGACCATCATGACTTCAGTCCTGAGTAAGTTGTCTTATTTACCAGAGAGCACAACCTAGGAAATTCCTTCATATTTAAGTGATAAACAGTTTAATATTGGCTTCACCATAAAATAGCCCTTGAGCTAAAAAGGCCCTACTTGATTTATTTGTTAAAATCATTCCTTTATTGAATACAAACTGTGCAGTTAAAAAAAAAAAGGAAAAACAAATGACAAAAAGAGGTAGTTAAGTTAGAAACCATCGCACAGGATGGATTCATACCCTTATACTGCAGGCTTCTGAACACCACCTTGATATGTCTTTAATAGGAACCCAGCTTCTGTCCAGCTTGGGTCTATTATCCAACCTCAAGTCAAAGGCACCTAAAAATACAGTGCTGTTCTCCTTGAGTTTGCTCTTCTCGTTTATCTTCCCCTCTGCTAAAGATATGTGCTGCATGACTCATTTGCATTTGTCCAGCTTCATCTTCCAGCCACTGGCTCTTGTTCTGGCTTTCCTTGATAGATTAAAAAGCTCTTTAGAAACTGATGTTTTCCTCTGCTGACGGCACTTATGCACTGTAATCAAGTCACCTCCTGACCTCCTTTCTGATAAGCTAAATAGGCTCTTTCAAGTTCATGTTGAATTTTTTTTCCTCTTGCACTTAGATTATTTGCAAGTTCTTTCCTGCAGCGCCTAAGCTGTAGGCAGCATTCCCAGGACTCAGCCCTGTAGCTTCTAAACCAGCCGTGAGTGGAGGGAGGGAAATGTTTTAGAGGGAAAGGAAAGGTTGTCTTGTGGTTGAGCTTTGGCCTTGATGTCAGGGCATCTGAGTTCCTCTGCCAAAGCGCTGCAATCCACAGTCACCTTCATCTTTGCACCTATGCGTTGTTTCCACACAACTCATCATTTATGAAATTAGTCTATATTGCCCTCCTATTTGGGGCATGGACCATCTCAGCACGTGGGAGCCCTGATTCCAGGGCAGAGTCGCTCCTCAAAGGAAGCACACACACCACTGTATAACTGTCTTCATTGCAGTATTACAAGAACTGTCAGCATGGGGAAGAGCCTCCTTTCTACAGCCAAACGCTATCGGCTGCTAGTTTCTAGCTCCAAAATTTAGACGCTCCTCTGCTGCTCCCACTGGGTTGGTGTTTTTGTCAGCAATGAAGAAATAAGTCCCGGATTTGAAGCTGTCCCTCAGACCGTCAGATTTGGAACAACTCCACTGTCTTTTTCCAACAGCTCGGAGGCATTCAAAAGGTATTTAATTAAACTGACATCAGAGAGCTGTTAGCAAGCTTTCTCCAATTAGCAAGGTGGAGAGCGCTGGGTGCCACGGGGGGAGCGAGCAGACATGAAATGGTTTGGTTGCCTGTGCCTGCTTCGGCATCCGAGTAATTGGCACTTTTCTTCCAATTTGAGACAGAGCTCTGGGCACAGAGAGGTCACACCATTACAGTGCAATCCCATCTCATTTTCTAGTTTCCCCAGCCTATCCTTCTCTCCTGCTCTCACTTTTTAAGTATGATCAAAAATTTCCTTAGACACCCAGATCCTGTTGTGCTCTGTCAGGGCAAAAACAGAAGGAAAATTGGTGACACTCAGTATTTCTAGATACAGGATTTTAGAACTTTTAGGATCTGCATTCTCCTCTAACTGTTCTCTGTGTGTGTTGGTGTTTTTTTGAATGTGCCCCAGAATAGGACTGTCTGTACATCAACCTTGGATGGACTTTCAGCTGCTCATGCCCTCTGACTAGGAAGCAAGTTAAATGAGACCCCTATTGTGGCTTGCACTGGTGGAGGATCTGCCTCCCTGGATGTCTGCTTGACCTTGCAGGATGCCATAGGGATGAGATGTGAGAAGTGTCTCCTCAAAAGAGGCATCAGGAACCTTGCATAGTAGAGGTGCTTCCCTTGCCTCTTCCAAGGATTTGCAGGTTCTCCGGATGCTGGTTTCTGCTCTGTTGGAAATACTGGGAATGCAGCTCTGACACCAAAGGATATAGGAACAGATTTAACTTTCAAAATGAGTCAGACTTACCTCTCAGAGTCAGATCTGGGCTTCATTTTTAGCTGTGGAAATCCCAACATGGTTGTCCTGTGTGTGTGAACAATCCACCTCATTCTCCCTCCTGTTTTTAAATGCAGTTACGATCCTAACAAGAGCAAAGCAGGTGCCCGGGCTTTGTTTATTGTTTACAAATTACCAGCCAGCACCTACAAAAGACTCTAATGTGGGAGCCTGTGACAAAAGACCTCCCCTTCAGTGTGAGAACCCGTGCTGGGGCCACGCTGCTATGACAACAACATGAGGCTGCATCATTCAGGCAGACAGGACACGCACAATGGTGCGATCACCTGTTCCCACTTGTTCAAAGGAAATTTTATTAGTGCTGCAGAAAGTACATTAGAGAACAAAGCATAAAACATCCACCTATCACCCAGGCCTCTGCTAATCAATGCCAGTGCTGTCTGAGCTCTTCCTTTAGGCCACTCAGTGTTTCACACACTTGGGGACAGAGTTCAGAAACTCGTGCCTGCATTTGGAAGATCAAAAAACCCTTGATTTCTATTCAAGATGTTTGTGGCTTCTGTGTTTTGCTGAAAACATTGGTTTTTTTTAAATTTTAGACTATTCATGGTGAGTGGAGGGACAGTCCTGCAGAGAGATCATGAACGGACACACCTGAAGACAAACAATTTTTAATACAATTATTTAAGGTAATAATTAAGGAGAAAGGATGGGAGGAGAGACCAGGCCTGTGTTACAAGCACACAGGACTATGTAAGGTTTTACTTCATGGACCCATACGTATAAACTCATAGGTGTTTATGATAGGCAGGTGCTTTAGCCACAGCATCTATCCCTGTAGTCTGTTGTCCTTGCTCCATCTTTTCTTCTAGCATAGGGCACCAAAATCTTGAATATGTGATCATAAGACTACCTCATATGTCTTTTTAGCCACATAACTTCTGTATCACTGAACAAGCATAAAAAGAAAGAAAAAGGGGGGAAAAAAGTTTAGATGTGTAGATGTCTTTCCTGCATCTGTTGATATTTTTATATTTTTGCCTCCTGAAGTCTTTCATACCTTAATCCCATCCATCCAGAAGATTCCACCAGCTGTGGAAGGACTGTTCAAGTGGAAAGAAACCTTTTGTAATTGATAATCACATTCTTTTGTGAAAAGCTGGTCAAAACATTCCAAAGGACCTTTATTTTTTTTCTGATGAGCTTTTTTGTCAGGATTTCAACTCAATGAGAGAGAGAAAAAGGCAATCTCAACAGGGTGTTTACAACACTTGAAGATTTTCCACCAGAAGCATCAATGGCATGTTTATGTAACTTCAGGAATTTTCTACTGCTGCTCCTATCTGAAACTGCCTAAATAAATATTGGTTGGGTTCATCCAGAAGGTGACAGGCAGTATTGTTGGCAGCAGCTATGAGACCTGAGATGTTGTCCTCTGTGGATACTGCATCTGTATGAACGTCCCACTGAGAACAGCTCCCTTGGCTCTGTGGTGGACAGAAGATGTGGATGCTTCACTAGAGCTGTGCTGAGGCCACTCAGTCAACCACTAGTAAAACTAGTCCCAGAATAATCTGGATGCAGAAGGTTCATATGCATCTGAACCGATGTGAAACACTGATGAACGGATCTGTGCTGCAAGCTGGGGATATTCCCTATTTCAGTGACAGAGCAAATCATCTCTCACTGTTCTGCATCTCCACATAGCACCAAGTTCTGGTAGGTGCAAGAAGGGACTGCTTGAAATGCAGCTTCAGAGGACAGTGAAGAGAAACTGGGTGGAAAAGAGAAGGGTGGATCACTTAGAGGAGAAAAAAAAACGAAAAGGAAAACGGACATCTCTGTAAAGGGAGAAGAGGGGGAATGTATCCCACGGTCTAGGAAACTTGACTGTAACAGGGAAAATGGGGAAAAAAAACCAAGAGTCTATTGAAAGAAAGATTGAAACAGCTTTAGGAAGAGGAAAATGTTGCTCTAAAAAGGTATGGAATAATGAAATTTTTAGCATCTCTAGTAGAAGAAAAAAGTCACAGCTAGGAAATTCAGGTTCAGCATTGCGAGGAGAAAAAAAAAATCCCCAAAACTCTTCATGGCCAGAGGTTTTAAAGAACAGATAGAGCAAACACCTGCTCAAACTAACCTTGGAGGCTGGACTAGGTGGCTCTCCAAAGCCTCCTCCAGCCCTGCCCTGCTGGAGCTAAGAGGACGATGTTCACAGCAGGTTTATGCCCACGCTGGTTGGCAGTTTCTCACAAGACCAGGCTGCACTGTGCTTGGTAACAGGAATGTTACAAGATCAGAAGGTCTGGCAAGATTTGTGCTTGAGAAGGAGGGAAATCGTGACTGATTTGGTAGCATTTGATCCAAAAGACATCTGTAAAGAAAACTTCTGACTGTGGAGACCCTCTGCAACTGGAGCTTGCACTTCCCTCCTTTTGGAGATTCAGAAGGGGTTGGATTTCAAGCTCTGCTTTGGGCTCCATCTCTGGTGAGAAGATTGTGCTCTTGCTCCAAGGCTACATTAGAGCTGATGCTCTGGTGCTCATGGCTGTCACATCTGTGTATGGTCTTAGCTTTGCAGGTTTAAGTTACAGAGACAAATTTTAAAGCACAAACCTTGGAGACTCAAACCTATCAAAAAACAGTCCTATAACTTTGTGTTATTTAGAAATTTGCAGGACACGTAGTGGAGTCCCCTTGCACAAGATGAAGAAAACTTGTGCTTTAGCCTTTAAGCTCAGTTTCCTTCCATAGTTTGCCATCATATATCATCATTTGGAAATGCCTGACAGCTGTAGAGAACAGATCTCCTGCACATCGCTTCCCTGAACCTTTCCTTTGGCAAACAAAGCCACTGGAGGGTAATGGACACAGCGTAAAGTGTGGGGGTGGCTGTCATCCTGTAATGTCATATTACGGTGTCACCTGGCCCCCACCAGCCTGACATTAGGAAGATGGGATCTTTTCTACCCGTCTCAGCGGATGAAGGGGACACACACACAGAACAAAGAACTAAATAAACCAACGTGGCCAAAAGCAGACATGCTGTCACACCTCCAAGGGGAAAATGGATACAGGTTCCTGCTTCTGTTTCAAAATCAATTTCAAGCCTGCTTCATGAAACAAGTGGCATAATGGGCATTAGGTCTGGCCGCAGAACCTGCCGTTCCCGGGATGATGGATGGAAATGAGCACAATTACCTGGGCGCTGGGGCTGGTACACGGCCTTTCTGTTCGGCAGGCTCTGGATGGCCTTCCCGTCAGCAGGAAGATCAAAACAAGCTCTGCTGGTTGGGCCGGGCTTGTCTCTGCCCCTGCTTTCTTGGAGAGCAGAGCAAGGAGCAGTAACTGGAGCTGCTTAGAAAGGGGTGTCCCTACTGCTGCGCCGAAGCTGATGGGCCACACAGCAGTAGAGAGGAGCCTCTGGTGCATCGCTGGCACAGTGCTGTGGCTGCTTGCTTGCTCTCTGCTGCTGCGATCCCCTGAGCTGCGGTACCCAGTCTGCAGGTACCTGGACTCTGCTGGCACCATGCTCTGCAGCAGCAGTGGCCTCCTAGAGACACGAGGTGATGCCTCCCAACCCTTCATTTCACCTGCATGTGGGTGCCGAGGAGATCAGAGAGCCCTAATCATATAAATGCAGCTGAAGCTGGTGTACCAGCTCACCTTAGACTCGCCTTGATGGTGCCGATAGCATCATCTATGGGCTCTTCATTGAAGTATCTACTGAAAGATCCTTCTAAGTAAAGCCCAGGTTTGTTTCTCCACTGATTGTAAGAGGTGATTTTGAGAGGCACTGAGGTCCAGACACCATCCACACGTGCTGTGGGCTGCATGAGGGCTATGTGGTGCTCGCAAAGTCGGCCACATAGTGGGGAGAGACAAGTAACTCGTAAGAAGCCAACAGGATACTACAACTGTACAGCTTTTGTCCCTGGATTTAGCTCCTGTGGAAGCTGGAGGGACATGAAGGGACATCAGCTGGTGATAGCTCTCCTCCTCTGTGATTGACAGGGGCTTTCTGCTGGCCCCTTAGCTCTGCGTTGGTTTGGAGGTCAAAGGCTCGGGAAAATGGCAATTCAGAAGTTGTGTTCAGCCTCTGGCTCTATTTTCTCAGGCCCATGAAAGGGCAGATATCTGTAGCCAGCTTTAGAAGAGGCCAGGACCACTGCATGTCACCGTATTTGATGAAACTCCGAAGTCTCTCTTTTTTCCTTCCTCAAATTGAAATGCCCTGGGAAAACTGTATCCTCCCTGACGGCCGCAGGCGGCTCTCCTGAATACGCTATTGTCAGGCCTCAGAGATGTGAGTCAGAGCATCTTTAATCTCTGGGTGGGAGCGTTCTCCGTAGCTTTCATGCTTTGGAATAAATCTTCAGAGACGTTCCCAAATTAAGCACGATCCCTTTCTAATCTCCTTGCTCTTCTTCCTCTCCTCGTTTTATCGCCGGGGCTCAAGCACATTCAGCCTGGCCTACTTCGAAGCAAACTGATTAATGCAATCGCGTCAGGTTTTAGGAAGGATCAGTTCCTACGGCGGGGGAAAGGGCTCTGGCTGTTGCCAGCAGCCCCAGCTCCATCAAGAGCTTGGGAGGCTTATAGAGACGTGCATGTGAGCAGAGCTGACAGCTAAGCCGGGCAGCGGGCATCACACACAGGCCTCTCCTAAACCCCGGAGCAGCAGGAGCCTGCTCAGCATCCAGGTGATTCTCTGGAGCTCAGGGATGGCAGGATCTGCCCTCCGAGGCTGCACCGGGCAGCGGGACGGAGGGATTATGTGAACAATCCAGGGGATCTTTTGCAATTTTGAAGCACGAGGTTGATGAGTCCAGCTCTGACATTGCATTTGCCTGGGCCTGGGAGACACAGAGCATAAATGGCCCTGATTTGTCACCAGTCTTCCCAGGAGCACGTGGGCTAGGCTTCAGTTTTTGAAAGTGAAATAATAACTAAAACACAGCACTGAAAAGTCCATGCACTTTGCATGAAGAACATCAAAATGGGATATTTTGTTTTGAAGAAGGCGAAATAACACATTTTGGCAGTTCTGTAATTTTCCTTGCTCCTGTTTGTTACAACTATGTGACCAACATGACCTAAATTCAGGACGAGTTTTAGTCTCTGTACCAAAACCAGTAAGAGGCAGGACAAAAGTGCAGCGCTCAGCTCACCACACTCCTCTCCTGGGTACCTCTGTGTTTTGCAGTGGATGTTCCTGGTGGAGAGGGAGGGAAAAATGCACCTGGATGTAGAAAGCCCCCTGCAGGTGTGAGCCTCCTAAAGCAGCTTGGTCCCTGCTTTTTCTTGAATTCTCCTTTTTGCTTGTTTTCGTGAGTGTATTGTGGCTGACTGGATGTCATTTATTTTGAAGCACTGGATTAGCTGCGGTTTTTAATTACTTCTTCGCCCCTTTGCTTTCAGATTAGCTCCCTGCTGTCTCTTTGAGCACGTGTTTCTCCGCTCCGAGCGCTCTGGGTTCCTTGAGATCAAGGTGTGCTTGGTTACAGTGACGGGCAAGCAGTTATTTCCCCCCACGGTGTTCGCACGTGCAGGTTTGCCTGATTAAATCCGTGTGCCCCATTCAGTGGACACAGGGGCCCTCTGCCTCCAGAACAGACTCTCCAAGAAGAACAAGCCTTTCAGAGGGAAAAGAAAAGTGTTTCTCTCTCCTGTTCAGGGGGCCGTTCGTAGTGCCCAGCGTGTGGGTTGCCACGTGTGTTGTGTGCACATTGGGCCTGTTGGCTCTGCCAGGCAGGGCTGGTGCTGGTGAACATCTTTGAGCTAAGCCAGTCCAACTCTGAGGCAGTTGCGCTGATACCTGGAGCCCGTGAGGACTGACATCCATGTACTGCTGAGTACAATATATTGCAGTTAATTCTGACAGGCATATTTTTAATGCTAGGGCACTATTTAACTATTTAACCTCCTGGAGAGCCTGACCCTGCTTTGCTGATATCTGAGGAAAAACAAGCCTGGTCCTTCTCAGCCTTCCTAAATCTCCCTAATAAGGGATTTTCAAGGGCCCTGATAACACCGGTTGCTCTTGTGCCCTCCTGAAAGCGGGTCCACATATTTTTGAGTCTGGTTGCCCCAGACACAGGGAGGAAGCTGCCTCGATGGGTCATGCCTCCTTACACAACCCCGGCGTGAAACCAGGCTCTACTTCTGCAGCTGCCCACGGGCTGGCTCTGGCAGCTCGGGACTAGAGCAGCACTGCGCCTGACCTCCTTCCGTGCTACAAATCATCTCTTTATTCCTGTTTTCATGGAAACAAGCATATTTAAGCATTGCTGAGGGCAAACTGCAAAACCCTGCTGTACTGCACGGTGACTTGCTTGGGAGACAGACGGCCCGAACCATCACGGCCTGTTTCCCACTGAGCTGTTCCCGGAGGCTGAGCTCTGCTTGGGCTCCGCAGCGCCCATTGAATGAGATGTTTCGTGCTCTGGTGTGACTGAGGAGCAGCACTTGGCACTAGCACAGTCTCTTTCCTCTCCCCGATTACTCTAGATTTACTCCGGATTGTCAGAACTGCCTGTCTTTGAGACAGGTCCCTAAAAAAATGGTGCAAACAGCCGAGGGATTTAAAAGTTATTGGGAAGAGAGAGTGAGAACAGCAGCATAATCTTGCTTCCTTCAGAAACAAGGCTTAAAAAAGATGAAAGGTATTTGCCTGAACTCTCTGCAGGCCCTACCTTGGCAAGCAACGGGAGAGCTTTGGAAAGGCAATTCCAGGAGCCCGGAGCGCTCAGCATCACTAAAACCTGCCCTTGCGTGAGCAGAACTGTTTCGCTGCAATCTGCTCCCCTCTGCTTCCTGCAGCCTTTTGTTGTTAAGTTTTGGGTTTTTTTTTTTTTTTTTTTGCCTTTTTACTTTTTCTAGTGGGTTTAGTGCTGAAGGCCGCCAGCTGCCCTGGAATCCTAATTCACTCCTCAAGCAGGGGATACAGCACTTGGCAAGCGATTGCCCCCCAATGGCAAGTGAATTCCTTGCCTGGGGTGCCCTGGTGTTGCAGTTTTGCTCTTGTTCTGTTTGTAGAGCCTAAATCACCCCCGTGCCCTCAGCACTGCGATCGCCACCAGATTGATGGTTCCAGCGATGGAAAGAGGGGCCAGCAGACCACGTATCCCCTTGGAACAAGGGCTGTGAGAGGTGCTGGAGTGTCCATCCCTGGAAAACCTTCCAAACCCAACCCAGAAAAGCCCCAAGCAAACTGATGGAGTCTTGGCTTGCATTGTAGACCCTGAGAGATCCTTCCTGCCTGGGCAAGTCGCTTCATCTTTCTGGTCCTCAGCCTGTATCTCTCAAAGAGGGACAAGTTACCTTTCCAATTCTGATTTATCCATCAGCCAGAATCCTAAAGCAAAAAGTCAAAAATAAAACCCCCAAACTCTTCTTTTTCCTAAGGATGGGAAAATTGTTGTGCTTGTCAGATATTTCATTTCTCATGACATTTTCACTGAAATTTTTTGAAGGTGTTATTACTTTTTAGTTTGACTGAAAAGACTGCTTCCAGAAAGGAGAAATTCTCAATAGCCATCTTGATAACACTTTGTGGCTTTTTTTTTCTTTTTTTTTTTTTTCTTGAAGAGATTAAAAACACTCACTACAAATGCTGAAAAAACCCTCATATTCTGTTTTGAACCCTGCAAAATGAGAACAACACGGGTCTTTCTGTATTTTTCACAAAATAGTTTTCCCCCACTGTTATTTTTTAAGTCCTTCCATTCGGGCTGTAAGCTTTTCAAGGCAAAAATTGCTTCTCTAACAATGTCATTTTCCAACTCCCACTTCACCAGGGTTTTCAATTTAGATGGGAGCTCTAAGTCCAATAATCATTCAAGACCACAATATTTCTGGTTCAAAGCAATGCCCATCATTTTAGGTCATAACTCTAGATTAAGATTTTCAGTTTATCGAAGAACTAGATTTCTGTTTTTTTTTCTCCCTATAATTTCATTAGCTGATAAGCTCCTTGTTTTGTAAACTATTATAAAAATGAGTATTTTTTTTCCAGGGAGATGCTGTAAATTCTCTGCTCTTCATGATTGTAACCATCAGAAATGATTATCTTTGTGCCTAGGAGATCTGTCAAGTCTGCCCCTTCCTTTAACACTTACAAACGTGTATCATGTTGATGAATTTAGATGGTCATTTAAAGGCAATTTGCTTGTCCTACTTTTTAGTTCTTATTGATTGTCATGTAATTAACTGATTCATTTCATTAATATAATCCAGAGTGTCTGCAACCCTCTTAATCAGTAGAACCTGATCAGAAGACTAGGGTTTAATTAGACTACACTAATTGCCCCAATGAAATGATGTTTTTCCCGTGTCCTATGCTGTTACTTATAGCCGCTAGAATTTATATTACTATTGAAGATTTAATCAGGTTCCAAGAAAATAAAATTTTGCCTGCTGCTGGAGGAGGAGCTTTTTGGAGCCAAGGCAAAGCGGTTTAGGGCTGGAGAGAGCAGTCACATGCAGTGAGGGGTGACACAGCAGCTCAGGATGATGTTACTGAGCAGGATCATGGTCATGTCTGGTAAAATCGGGTGTATTTGAGCTCGCACTGTCCCTGCTGTGAACTCCCAAACGAGCCCCCAAATTGCAGAGCTCATGGGAGGCTCAGAGGGCCCCAGGCAGCTCTGGCCATGGCAAAATGCCCATGGAAAAAGGCCATGGTGAAATGCCCATGAAAACCCATTTGCTGGTGAGTTATTCCCACCAGGCCCTCTTTGAAGGGAGGAGCTGGAGTGATGGTCTGTGCACGCTTCAAAAGATGTGCTCCAAGACATGCTCCTGCACTGCCTACTTCGTGACAAACCTGGATCTGGGCATCGCAACCTCGCTTTTCTTGGTCTTACAAGCTGATAAGCACCTATTTTAATTAATAAGCACTTATTTTAAATGTGGTTGAGGATGCTTGACAGCTTAGCTGCTTAGAAAGGGAGTCTCTACCTGTGTGCATGTGTGTGTCTGCGTGTCTATGTGTTCTCCTCTAGCTTTCACCTAAACTCACTACAGAGAGTGTCTCTCTGTAGATCATAAACGTGATGTGATGGAGCAGATGGGAAGATGGTTGTTCTTTATTTCAGTGTGGGTCCTGCAGCTGGGCGTGCACAGACACACGCATGTGTCTGTGGTGGCCCCCATGCAGACAGCTTCAAAGAGCTGTGGTGGCTGCGCTGGGTGGCCGGTGGGGACCCGGCACGGTCGGGGTCTGTCTCTCTTGTGTGAGGCCAGGTCCTGCCCTTGGATTCCTTCTGCACATCCCTGAGTGCTCTGTAAATGGCTGAGCTTGGCAAGGAAAATTGCAACTGATTGTAAATTTCTTGCACAAATGGAGCTGCAGAAGAGCTAAGACAATTTGCAAAATCAAGTCACATTTGGGAAGGCATTTCAGCCTCCCCACCTCCCCCTTGAGAAACATCAGTTGGCACTGCTTGGAAGTGCCAACAGAGAACGAGTACGACGTTTTCAAAAACCAAGCTCTTTCCTATTTGCAGGTTGGGATGTTGGCTTGCCTGTGTTTAAAAAGGTGAAGGAGATAAGAAAGGCTAATTAGCTTATAAACAAAACAGAACATTTTGCTTTGCATCAAACGAAATGTTCTGGGTTGATTCAAAACCCGAGTCAGGCCAGTGTACTTTGGAAAAGGCACTGGCAAAGGAATAATAACTGGGAAGCAAAAGGTGGGGAAGGGACTTTGCAGAGAGGGTCTTCCTGAGGCACGAGTGGGTGCCTGAAAGCAGCGCCTCCACTTCCAGGTGCTCTGTTGGGAAGGCTGAATGGGAATGGGCTGCTTATTATCATCCAGTTAGTGACACTGAGACTGTGGTCAGGGCTGGATGCAGCAGCACGACGGCCAAGGAGGCCCTTGGAAGGGAATGGCCAAACCCATGTGAATGAAACCGTGTCCTGGGCTCCGAGCTCAGCAGAGCAGCAGCCCTGGGGATTTTGCACCCCGGATTTCCTGCTGCTTTTAGCTTTGCAGCTTTGCGGCCCCACTGGCAGAGCAGGTACCCCGGCTCGGGATGGCTGCAGCTCCCACAGGGAAAGCCCAGCTACCAGGCGGCCGCGGTGGGACCAGCACCAGTCTGGGCTCACGACTCCGTTTTCTCTCCTGCGACACCTGTGAAAACTCGCCGAAAACCGCAGCACTGCTGGGATCCTCTCCTAGAGCTCGGCCTCGGTCCAGCAGGCAGCGTGGCGCTGAGCGGCGCCCGCCCTCGGCAGAGACGGAAGGGCTTCCTCCCCAAAGTTAGTTTTTTCCAAGCACTTCATGTTTCATCCCTCTCGGTGAGTGGCTTTGGTGGAAGGGCGTTTGAGCTGCCTCTGACCGTGATGAAATGGGATTACCGCTGCAGCTGACAGCAACTCGGTAGAATCGTACTCAGTTTCCCTCTCGTGGTTTGCAAAGGAATTAACTGGGAAGGATATTTAAGTAATTATTTCTGCAGCTGAATATGTCCAAACCATTTGGGTGCACTGGGGTTTTGCTCCTGCCATCCCAGCCCATTCAGACGTGCACCTGAGAAAATCCAGGTTGCACCACTTAATTCTGTTAAAGCTGTGGCCCTGCCCTTATTTTCCTGATTAGAGGTTTTACCTCCATTTTCTGTACCAGAATGACTGAAGTTGTTAGGCGAGGTCTGAGTTCTGCCTTCACCAGGGGCCGGTTTCTCACGTTATCTTTCTCTCGTGCTGTTTTCTGCCTGCCACTGAGATCGCAGGTTCTCTGGAGGGGCCAGGAGGCTGTGAACTCTCTGGAGCAGGGACTGTCCTTAATACCTGCCTGCAAAGTGCTGCGTTTGAGGCCCTGGTTCCTGCAGTGTGCTTCCCAAAAGGCCCTATAGGAAACTGGGCAGCTACCGTTAAGAGCATAAATCTATATGTATATGTATATAAAGGAGGATTAAAGAAGGAACCCCCCAGGATCAGGGGAGTCACTGGAGAGCTACAGCATGTAACGATGCTCAGCTCCCGCTCTTCCCTTTGCTTGTTGCTGGAGGGACTCAGCGTCCTGCTGAGATGCCAAGGGAAATCACAGGATTATTTGCAGTGACGATTATTATCCTATGATCTCTCGGGGCTGTATAAATGGGAGCCAATTAGAGCCAGAAAAGGAGTAAGTTGTGTAATTAGAAAGAGGGAAGTTGGGAGAGAGTTATCTCTACATGAAGGTGCTGCTTTGGAGAGGAACGTGGAAAGGTGAGCGCCGAGGGCTGCAGCCGCAGCCTGGAGCAGCAAAACGTGCTGCTCGCTGCCGCTCACCTTGGGCAGGTCCTACCAACTTTCCCTCTGGAGAAAGAAGGGAATATTCTTTTGGTACAGCACAGCTCGGAGCTGGGAATACTTCCTGGTATGTGTTTGTACTGAACATGACGGGATCTCTCCTGCATCTAGCCCCTGGCTACAGGCTCGTGGCCTTGCAGTGGTGTTTGCTTAGGAGTGGGCTGGCCAGCCTAGGTGTTGGCATCACCCCAGACTTTCCTCTGGGGCCTTTTCATGAATTGTTAGAACAGAAAAGCTGTAGTAGGAATGAGTTGTCAGCAGTTGTGCTGGGTATGAGATGACTTAAGATCTCTCCTGTTGCTGCTGCATTAATGTCTGCACAAAGCAGGGAAAGAACGTTTTTGCCTCCCCTTCCTCTTTTTATTGATCCAGCCTGCCTAGGCCAGAAAATGTGTCTGTTCCCCTAGCAGGCAGCAAGCACAAAGCAGAATTGCTTTCTAAGCTGTGGTGAAGGAGGTTATTAATGTGAATATTATTCATGCCAGGAAAAATAGCCAATTACTTTCCTATAGAACCACTCTCTGCCCAGTGAGCCAGTAATTGCAACATCTAACATTAGTCACTGAGCTCTGAAAGCACTTCAGAAATACTGACAAATGCATTTGGTCTTGAAAGAAAAAATAAAAACGCCAGGAGAAGAAATAAAGACAGGGTGACAGATCTTCAGCTGGTGTAAATGGCTGTGGGGAATCTATGCTCACACCTCAAATGTCTTGGTGCTGTGAGAATTTGGCTGTGTCGTATACCCATTCTTATTTCGTCGTATACCCACTCTTATTTCGTCTTATACCCACTCTTATTTCGTCTTATGCCTACTCTTATTTTATGGTCGGTATTTTCAAGCCTGTTGAAGAACCACGCTGATGAAGCATCGTGTGATGAGCTGATTGCCCTGACCCGATGGCACTGGAGGTCGATCCCATTCCTCCCGCCCCGGCTGCGCCGTGCCCAGCACCCGAGAACTGCTGTGCGCCCCAAGGAGTGCTAATGCTCTTGGTGACCAGGCCCTGGGGACTCGCAGGATGCAGGACACGCTCCAGCTCCTACTAAAGGGTATATCTGGTCTTATAGATTATATTCCTCTGCTGCAGAGGTGCACAGGCCCATCCAGCGCCGACTGCGACCTGGGAAACTGCATGAAAGAGCACAATTTGCTTTCCACTATTCTTATATAAAAGGGTAAGGACTTGGATAATGCCTTGCAGCTATTCAGGGTTTCCCTTGGGCAGCCAAAAGGAGAATTTATCGGTGTCTCCGAGGTGCTGAGGGTGTGAGATCCGCGGGAAGCCTGTCCTGTGACCACGTGCGGAGCATCAGGCACGGCTACCACCCGTCTGCCATGATCCAGTGGCAAGCACAGCCGCCTCATTCCTTCCTGAGGACTAACCAGCCCTTCGCTTCCAAGGAAAACAAACCTGCTCCCCAGTAGCTGTGGCTGTGGGCTGGCATTTCACCTGAAGCGCCAGAAATGCCCTTGAGAATGTACCGAAGGCACTGGGCCTTTTTTTGTTGATGGTGGTATTTTTGGGCAGGGGCCTGTGTGTGCTTGGTGTCCACAGCGCATTAGCCGGGCTTCATTAACCACAGGTAACTGCAGGCGGCACAGCTCAACGCGCCTCCCCTCACACCGCTCCATCGCGCCGCCATTGCCCCCTCCCTCCGGCCTCCCCCTTCCCGCCACAGCAGCCCCGCGCAGAGCCCCGAGCGGCTCGATGCGGCGCCCGGCGCTCGCTTGGCCACGCCTGGCGCTCCGCGGGAGGGGGCGGAGCGGGGGGCGGCGCGCGCGGCTTTCCCGCCAACACGAGGGCGCGCGCGAAGGGGCGCGCGCCGCCGGTGTCCCCAACCTCCCCCCCACCCCGACCGTTACCCGCTCCCATCCCCGCTCCGGCGCGGCGCGGGAGGCGATGGTGAGTCCGGGACCGGGACCGGGACCGGGATTGGGGTTGGGATTGGGACTGGGACGGGCGCAGCCGCGTGCCGGCCGCCGCTGAGCCCCGCGCCGTGCTCCCTGCAGAGGAGGAGCCTGGCGCCCAGCCAGCTGGCCAAGAGGAAGGCGGGCGAGGACGAGGAGCCGGAGTGGCGCCCCCCGACGGTGAGCGGGGCCCGGGGGGGCTCCGGAGGCCGGTGATGAGCGACACGCGGGTGTGTGGGGCGTCGCCGCGGGAGGCTCTGCCCCGTGCGGGGCCCGCGGGTGAAGCCGCGTCTCGAGGGGAGGCGGCCGGGCAGGGCTGGGCCCGGGCTGTGCCTCCTGAAGGGGCTGGAGCCCGCGTGGCCGTGGGAGCGCTGTCACCCGCTCGGTAAATGCAAAATTAAATTAAAACCTCGCCTCAGGAGCCTGAGGGGGTTTCAGGCAGTGTTCTCCATGCTGCAGACCCCCTTCATTGTCTTTTTGCTTTTACTTTGGTGCAGAAATTCTGCTCACTGAAAGTGAATGTTGCTTTTATTTCCTCTTTTTTAATTATTTTTTTCCCCAGCTGTGTACTTTCTGGGCCACCTGCCTGCTGAGGAAGCAGGTGTCAGCACAGCCGGGGCCGCTGCCTCCCGAACTGGGAGCTGTTCACTGTTTTCGTGACAAATACAACTTAGGGACCACGTTATAACATAGGCTTGGGGCACGTCGGCCCCGGGGTGCTGCTGGCGGCGGAGGGTGACGGGGTCTGTGCCGAGGCTCCCATGCTTGGGTGGGTGCCTGGTGAGCGTGACGGCGGCGCGGCCGCTCACCGGGCGCCCCGGCTTTGTCCTCCTCGCCCCTCCAGGCTCAGAAGAGGCAGAAGGCCGGCGGCGAGGCGGACGGCGGCGAGTGCTACCGGTCGCCCTTCCGCAGGCCCCTGGCCCAGCTCACCAACAGGCCCCAGTGCCTGGATAGCAGCCAGCATGTAAGTGGGCGCTTTCGCTAGCGCGGGTCTGCCAGGGGCTTGCACGTGGAACTCGTTCGTCAGAGTTGCTCGGGTTTCACCGGAGGCCTTTAGGGCAGACCTTTTGGCCAGCTCTGTTACCTCAAAGGAAGTGTGGTGATGGTGGGGGGCCCTTTATATAGTGGAAAAATATGAATAAAGGAGTGTTGTGGAGCCTGAGTCAAGGATCTGGCCAAGGGATGTGGGTAGCTTTCCACTCAGGGGACTCGGAGTCCTTCTGCCTGCCCTGTTTTCCATGGGCTTCCCCTTTGGAGCCCAGGTGCTGCCTGGTTGGATGCTGGGCTGGTCCAGCAGGACTGTTCTTACGTTGTTAACCCAGCTTCTTTACAGGAAATGAGTTGCCTGGCTGCATCATTGGAGCAGGGGGTCAAGCAGCGGCGTTTAGAGAACTTAATAACGCTACGGTTCTAAGAAGGTCGAGTTACGAAAATCGTTTTCATGCCTTAGAAAACGTGGAAGAAAACAATTTTAGATGGCAGGGCTTGTGGAGGGAATTGTGGTGTGTCACTTTATTGCTTTTGGATGTCCTTGAAAGCAGTTGGGATTGAAGCTTCAGTGAGGGTAGAGGCATGGCCATGGCAAAACTGAGTTCTCAGAAATGTCCTGGTTTTTCCTTCTCTAGCGGTTTCTGATGTCAAACTTGTTAAACGTGTTTTTTTTCTGCATTCTTAGGAGGCTTTTATTCGCAGCATTTTGTCCAAACCCTTCAAAGTTCCCATTCCAAATTATAAAGGTAAGATGAGGAGGTTTAAGAGTTGTGTGTACTGCCTAACTCTAGCAAAGCAGATGATGCTTTGGCCTGTCAAATATATCTATGGGATTATTGTTATTTTTTGCACCGATGCGTATGTTCCAGAAATCCTGACTTAATTCTGAAAGAAAAGTACTGGCACATTAGCAAAATTTTCTTATTTCTTACTAGTGTTTAGTTTGGATAATCCTACATTTCAGAGTTGGATTTTTACATACTTAACTGTTATGTATTTTATGTACCGCCGGAACACTCTATCCCAGATTGCAAACACAAAAGCAGGATTGATTCCCAGCCCTGAAAGTTTATCATCTAAATAATACCCTAATGGTACTAACAGGCGGAAGGCTGTGGGCGAGGGAGATAACGTGTGCCAGTTTCCTTTCTACTTGACTTGGTGTGTTAAGTCTCAAGGTGAACTTCAGAACAAGGGTTGTTTTGAAGTTCAAAGCCTCAGCTGGCTTTGAATCATTGGAACACAAAATCTCGGAAGCAAATGGGGCTGTTCTCTTCCCCTTCACCCTCCAGCTAAAAATTCAAAGACAGGTCACTCAAACATTAGTTTAAAATATGTCTATAGACAAGCAGTAAGTATGAAATTACTAACCTAAAAAGAGATTTGTTTGGCAAAGTTCTCATCTGGTGGAGAAGCAAATTTGTCAGGATTTTGAAATTCATTTTTTTCCATGGAAGCTGCCTTCTGTGGACTTATCTTCCCCTCTTAATTGGGAGGTGAAGCTGTTTTGTGTTCTCTTTTCTTGATGTGTAGGCATTGTTGTCTCAGCTTATGGTACCCTTTCATTTTGCAAGGAGCTTCACCAAGCAGCAGGGGAATTGACCCTGTTTTAATTTTTCCAAAACAAAATCGATCCTGGGGAGTAGAGTTGCCTCCGAGCACTCAGATGTGTCTTGCTGAGCTGTAATGGGAGTAGTAGTTTAAATGCATATTCCTTTTATGTTTCCTTCCCTTCTAGAACTGTGACATCTAAGTATAATATCAGGGAAAGGGGTTCGTCTTAGTCTCTGCTTTTTGCAGAACCTGATTCTGAGACCAGGCATCATTGCTCAGCAGGGACAAAATAATTCCCTAAACTAGATGATGGCAGTGCGGTGCAAACTGTTAGACTATAAACCTTCATTGCTGCTAAAGATCTCTTCCTGACCCTACATAAAAGGTACAAGTCCTGCCAGGCCTCAGTTGAGTGCTCCAAAGAGAGAATTTGGCCCAGGATATGTTATATACCCAGGAATGTATAGATCCTTGAGTCATGTTTGTTAAGAAAGCAAAACAAGAACTTTAAAGAACCAGGAACAGTCCCAAAGTAGCTCAAAGGTGGTTGAGGGAGATGTTGTGCCTGCTAATGATTGAATGCCTGTGGCACAGGTTTGGGATGAAGTCCTCAGTCACCTTCCAAATAGCAAGAGCTGATGTGTGCCAACATCAAGCTGATGATGCCAACGTCAACATCAACAAGCTGATGTGGCTTGTGCTGCAGCCAGACATGCCCATTTTGGTGCACCCAGTACATTGGGCAGGGTCATAGCTCTGTCTTTCCTCTGCCCCTTCACAGTTTTCTTCTGGGGCAAAGCAGTTTTTTGAGCTCTGCCTTTGTTTCCTTTCAGGGCCGCTGGGGTTGCGGGCGCTGGGTATCAAACGGGCAGGGCTGAGGTCCCCTCTCCATGACCCTTTTGAGGAAGGAGCTCTGGTTCTGTATGAGCCCCCGCCACTGAGTGCCCATGACCAGCTGAAAATAGACAAGTGAGTCATCACCTGGTGCCAACGCTTCCCTTCTGGCCTCCTTGCGTGTGAGGGTTTGCTTGCTCTCCTCCCAGGGATGTATAGGCTGGGATCTGAGTATCGAGAGAAACTTGAGTCCTGGTATTTTGCCTCTGAGCTGCTCAGGTAAGGTACGAAGCAAGGGAAGGGATGTTCCCATGTCAGACTGTTCTTCCACTGGCTGTTTGATCTCCCACTCATCAAAAAACTCAGCCTGCTGGAGGGACTAAGGACTTGCACGTGGAGAAGTTGTTAAGAACATTTTATGATGCAGTGGTTAGTCAATAAACAATAGCATCTAGGGAGGAGCAAAGTGGGGGTGACTGATCCTCAGATGTTAGGCTACCTGGGGATTTTTATTCTTAAGTACTTCCTTCAGTACTGTTTTAATGTGAAAGAACTAAGACTGTCATCTTGGACAGAGAAGGAGGTTTCATGATTTGGTCTCAAATAATGCAGTTAGTTCTGCTTTTCAGACAAGGAAAATCAGACAAGGAGGTTTCATGATTTGGTCTCAAATAATGCAGTTAGTTCTGCTTTTCAGACAAGGAAAATAGTAGTAAATTTCAACTCTGGGTCTGCAGAATCATGTTTTGGCCTTGTTTTAACCGTGACCTGAACACACCCATAGCTTCAGTGACACTGCAGATGGTAGATCAGACCCCTATGACTCTCCTCAAAATTAAATTCATTTGTTTTTCTCGTTGGCAATTGCTTTCCTCAAGCCACTGAGGAGAGCTTAGAATAGCCGTGGGATTAAGAAGAGCAAACATATGCTGTGCAGAATGCATTAATCATATATTAATCTTCCTCGACTGCCTCCTACAGGGACAAAGCACCTGTCCATGTTGTGGTGGATCCCGTCCTCAGCCGCGTCTTACGGCCCCATCAGAGAGAAGTAAGTTTTGTACTGGGACCTGAGGTTATGTCTGGAGGTCTTGATGTATTTCAGAAACCTGCAGTTGTTCTTGTTGGAATTATTACCCACCAGCTGTAAGGTTTATGTTATGTAACAGACTCTTCCAGCTTTTTGCAAAGGCAAAATCAAATAGGTTTGTTTTAACTAACATCTTAGAGAGGCCTGAACACTGCAGATAATCTCTGCCCTGGGTTAAGCAAGAGGATATGCTGTGACTGTGATAGCAGTCGTTTGGCCTTAAAAATGGGGGAATTTACTGCTTTCTGGTGGTTAGGAACTTTTTATTCTCTTGCCTCTGATCTCTCAGGATCAGTGCGTCCTCAGTGTAAAAATGACATTTATTTTACGCACAGATTTGTTCTCTGTGGGTATATAGGTCAGATCTGCTTGTATTGGGAAGTGGGGAGTTTCTGAGAACGCTGCGCACTGGTTTTGCTTTTGCACATGGCTTTGCTTTTGCATTGCCTTTAAAACCTCAGGAAAAGACTAGTTTCTGCATCGCAGTGTAGCTCACCTGAATAGCTCATAAAGGAACTCATTTAGGAATGTGATGGGATATTATTGCAATAAATTATCCTGGCAGCACGATCTTGACTTGGGCAGAGTCAACTGTTCAAAACAGTGTTTTACTGGTCAGCAGAACCAGCTGGATCTGCAGTTTCTGAGCCAGTAAATACAGAAGCTCTTGTGTCTGCTGTGATGGTTCCCAGCACAGTGTACAGCAGTGTCCTACTTCAGTGTGTGTTATTGACAGGCTGTTCTTTGTAAATGCAAGATGTCAGCGATCTCTGTAGATTGGGAGAGCGCTGAAAAACGTTTTCCATCTTAAGCATATGCAAAGTCCCTGGAACTGTGGGTAATAATCCCCAGATATCTCCCTGGGGTATCTAGAGAGTTTGAGACTTATCACAGCTGCACGATTATCGTTTAGGCCTAGAGGCAGCATGGAGGGGAGCTGTGATTGCTGATCTTGCAGGCTAAGCGGGTCAAGCTGGCTGTGTCCCTGCACAAGACATCTTCAGATGACTCTGTGAGTGCTGTGGGCTGCTTCTGCCTTGTGCTTTTATCTCAGAGCTGGTGCTAACCTGCGAGCCAGTGTGATGCTGCTCCCTGGCTGCATACCTGGAGGCACTTTCTGTTGGATAAGGCACTGTCAGCTGGCATGTTTCTTGTGTGATGACAGTTGTGTTGGTGTCCTGAGCACTCTGTCTATCTTTTGACAGCTAAGTATCTCTCATATAGCAGTCAGAGTCATCACTCTTTGCCAGCTAAGGTTCCTGTGTTATTTTTTGTTCCCATGGATGCTCCCAGGCTGTTGTACAGCCTTGCCCGGTTTTTATCATGCATTTTGTCCAGTCTCTGGGGAGGTTGCCTTACTGGATCTCCAGCCAGATTTAGTGACAGTCAGCAGTGTGTTATTTATGTGGCCCAGACTTCACTAACCTGCTGATAAGGATCTTTAATAGAGAGAGAGAGAGAGAGAGGTGGGGAAAAAGGAAAAGGACTTGAAGAGTAAGTGAAAGTGACACTTTCATCTTCCAGTCCAATACAACAGACCGTAGTACAGGGAATCCATGGGGATATTTTCAGATCCTCTCCCCCTGTTACTGCTCTGCTGACACAGGTCAGGGGGCTCGTGTTTTCCCAGGGCGGTTTTCTCTGACTCCTCCTCATCCCATGCTAGAGGAACATTTTTCAGAGTCTGTCTTTTCTTCTCTGAATCTATTTGGGCTGTGTGTTGAGCCCAGTGCAGGACACAGCTGCTTTCTTGCCAGCATGTGACATGAGCCGCACGCTCAGCCCTGTGTCTTCTCTGAAGCTAAATCTGCTTTGGATTGTGTGTCCAGGGCTAAGTCCTAGTGGTTTCTCCAGGCAGAAGAGATGAGGGTTGCTGCGAGTATTCTGGGAGCTAGATACAAGTCGGGGCACTTTGTGATCCTTTGTTTTCCAAACTACATAACCGGGTGTTGTTGGGTGTTTGCTTTTGGCCAGCATAGAAGTTTCTGGGAAGTTGAGTCAGAAAACTAGTTAAGATTGTACAATTAAAATATGGCAGGATTTAGTGCCTGTTATGAGGTATGTGTTAGCACCAGTAATGTTGTTCTAACCTGGAAGCAGCTGTGTTTTAGCTGCATCTCTAGCAATTTCCCTCTGTCTCATTAGAACCCTGTGCGAATTTGCAGTTTATTGTACTATCAGTCCTGTGCAGCAACAAAGCTGTCATTCTGCCCCTGTCCCCCTCCTGCTCTGAGAGAACAATTTCTTGGCAGGGAGTGAAATTCCTGTGGGACTGTGTGACGAGCAGGCGCATCCCTGGGAGCCACGGCTGTATCATGGCAGACGAGATGGGCCTGGGCAAAACCCTGCAGTGCATCACGCTCATGTGGACACTTCTGCGTCAGAGTCCGGACTGCAAGCCTGAAATCGAGAAAGCCATGGTGGTGTCTCCCTCCAGTCTGGTGAGAAACTGGTACAACGAAGTAGAGAAGTGGCTGGGGGGAAGGATCCAGCCGCTGGCCATTGATGGAGGCTCCAAAGAAGAGATTGACCGTAAGCTAGGTACAGAAATGCTCGCAAGTTGCGCTTTCGGTCAAAATCCTTAATTAGAAAAAGTCACGTTGCAGCTCGTGTGAAGATCTTTGAGCTGTCGTTACAGCCCTGGAAGCTGAAGAAAGTCTTTCTTCTAGTTTCACGTCTAAGTCAGGTTTTATATGTTTAGTAGTAGTTGATCTTTGTGAATAATCCGAGTGCAGCTCTGCCTAATTAGGGATGGTTCCAGTGCCACGTCCTTTCCTTCGCCAGAAGGAGTGGGCTAGTGAGGAGGTGAACAACTGAAGTGGTTGAAGATGGCTGGTGGAAGTGGGAGAGCTGCAGAGAAAACTCTGTGTGTAGATAGGAGAGGTGTTTGGGAGGAAACGGCTCTTCAGGGTTTGAAGCATTGATGAAGATAGAAAGGTTCAATTAAACTTTTAAGGCAAAAGGATCAGACTCAGCTGCAAAGTTTGAATGTGATTCTCTTGCTGTTTTTCTCATCCCTCTCTTTTTTTTTTTTTTTTTTTCCTTTTCCCCATTTCCATCCACAGTCGGCTTTATGAACCAGCGTGGCCTGCGAGTGCCTTCACCCATCCTCATCATCTCCTATGAGACTTTCCGCCTTCATGCTGAGGCTCTACAGAAGGGCAGCGTTGGCTTGGTCATATGTGATGAGGTATGGGGGAAATCTTCAATCAATGCTTGTTCTTCATGTTTTCTTGACATTTGGGTAAAACTGTCTGCTTGCTTAGAGGGAATTTTGTCAGTTAGTTGTGCAGAGCCCACATTCTTATGTTCAAAAGGCCCTCCTGAGTGGGCCTCAAGGACAGAAGGTATTCTCAGGAACTGAGAGATGCAAAATGTCCAGTGGTACCTGCTGGTAATTATCCTTGGGTCCCTGACAGGGGCCTGCCCTTAATGGGGGTCTTGTCAGTGTGAGGGGCCAGCAGAAGTGTGGAAAGGAGGGATGGTCAAACGTCTTGCTCTGCTGGGATGGTGGTGCCCTGGCTCACTGCTCGTGTTTTTATTTTTTTGCTTCTGCCTGCAAGAGAGAAGTATCTTCTATTTTGCGCAGCCCTGTAAATGAATTTTGCTTTGACCAAGAGAGCTCTCCAGAGGTCTCAGAAAGTGAATGAGTCTGTGATTCAGCATAATGTTAGACGTAGTGCAGGCTGCTCTCGGCCACTTTACCTGGCAGTCTTTAGTTGTGGGGTGAAAGAGGTCCCTTTTTGCTCAGGCAGTGCATCAAGTCAGTTGTTGTGCCTAAATCTCCTGATTTGTGCTTTTCCCTTGCCCTCCTGGACTGCTGGATTGCCTTCTCCCCTCTAGCTGTTACATCCTGAATCTCTATTCTGTGTCTACTGTCCAAGACTCAGCCCTGCTGAGGACATAGGGAATTAAGTGCCATCCAGCTTCTGCTGGAGATAACAGGAATCCCGTGGAAGTGGGATTTGGGTCTCAGAAGAGCCAGGTGAAACCTCGTGTTCCAGAGCTTGTCTGCCCCCCAGCACTGGATGCGCTGGAGTGACCTGCCCTCCGAGGCCATGAGCTCAGACTTCTGTGCTGCCGGTGGGATTGGCAGGACCCCCTTGTCCCTCCTGCCGTGGGTGCACTTGGGCAGGAGGTGGGAGAGCAAGGTGAGGCATTGCCAATTGTGCTGCTGCTTCAAGAAGAGGCAAACTTGGCTTCTCTCTATGCTTGCTGAGCGTTTGATCTCTTTTTTGCTCAGCTTGGCTTTTCAGGCTCTTGTCTTCCCGTGACTGAAGTGGATTTGATCTTTCGTTACTTGAGATTGTAGTGGTGAGTCAGTGATTCCCTGAAGGAGGGAATTAAACAAATCTCTTTTGCCTTCCTGAATTGGTCAAGCTGGGGGACCTTGGCTGTTGTTGGGGTGTCCTGTGCTACCATTGAGAGGGGATTTGTTAAAAGCTGGTGCCACACAGTGGTATGGTTGTGTATCTGCTAGAACACTGCTTAGAGGAGCCGAAAAAGCCAAAACCTCCTTCAGTATGAAACCTCCGTCCAGCTTTGACCTGCTGAGTCCGGAGCTGTCCCCACTCCAAGTGCCCCGGGAGAGGGCAGAGGGGAAGGAGATGCCAAACCTGCCCGCTGTGGCCGGCAGGTCTTGCCCTCGCACTGTCTTGCCCCGTTCCTGATAAATGCTCAGCTCTGCAGCAGCCTGATGCTTTCAGAAGCTCTCTCCCTTGTTAAGCTCCATCCTGCAGCGTAGCCCCTGGGTGCCAATAAAGCTGCTTGGCCCAGGCATGTGGCAGTGTCCTGGAGCACTTCAGCGAAGGAGGTTGGAGCTCATAATCAAAGAGCCCTTGGTGCTTCCCAGCCGTGTCATGTGCAATGTCCATCTAACAGCTTGTCTGCGACAAAATAAAAGGCAGACACTAATCTCTTACTTTGATTTGCTCTGCTCTTGTGTTCAGGGTTATTTCTTTAACTTGCTCACGCTCTTGAGAAACTGGGTGTGCTTTATTTCTTAGAAGTGGTTTTGTTCTGTTTTTGAGAGCTATTTTTCATCTTGTCTCCCAGTTTTGTCAGGCCATGAGTGGCCAGGGAGCATGAGCTGCAAAACACTGATATAGAGCAGTATGTTTTTTGCCTGAAACTTACCTCTGTGGTCAGAGGACCATATTCAGACCCCTTTGTGTAGGATGAAGGACTTTTTTTTTCATTAGCGTGCAAAGGCCTGGAGGTCCTGGGTATAGGTGGTTTCGAATGGCCTGTGATCCTGATTTTGGAAGCTGCAGGATCTCTGATCCAGAGGTTGGTGCCTAGTGCTGGCAGCTGACATGTCCCTGTCTTTGAATGGGAACCTTAACAGTTAGACCTTGTGGTTGTCATTATCTTCACATCATGTGCTGGTGGGAACTCCAAACTGCTTCCTATCGGAGCCGTTGGATTTATAATTGGATGCGTTTATCTACTTATCTTGTTTTTTTCATAGGGCCACAGATTGAAGAACTCTGAAAACCAAACCTATCAGGCTCTCAACAACTTAAATACACCCCGACGAGTCCTCATCTCCGGCACCCCCATTCAGAATGACCTGCTGGAGTATTTCAGCTTGGTGCACTTTGTCAATTCAGGCATCTTGGGTAAGTACCATGAATGTGAGAGAAATGTGGAGGAAGCCTGAGAAACAGATTCTCCCCCCTGCTATCTTAATTGTATCCAGGTGCCACAAAGTCGAAGGGACTGGTGCAAGGTGGAATTGAGCACTTTGGTAGAGCAGGTGACAAAGCCCAGATCCCTGGCAGTCCATCATCCTGCTTTCAGCTATTTGTGACAGAAGGTTTAGAGTAGTGATGTCTCGCACTTGGACTTGAGACTGCTGTGTTTTGACATCAGGAAGGGCTGAAAACTTCTCCGAGATAGGAAAAAAAAAAAAAAAAAACTCCTTGGAAGAGAGTTGTTTATTTAATTTGAGTTTTCAGAATTAAAAACCTTCCACAATGTAATTAATTTAACAGATTAGAAAAGGCTCTGGCTCCTGCGCTCAATTGTAAGCTTGTTTTCATTTTGAAAGCAAAGTAGACTTCACATGCTCTCCTGCCTGCATCCAGGTTTAGGAGCAGCCATACAGCTTTCCAGTGTTAAGAAGCTCATCTTTGCCAAGAAACATCATTTCTCTGTCAAGGAGAGAAAGTAAGCCAGCCTATAAATAACTTCTTCGTTGCTGTGACTTTTCACCCACGTTTGTCTCAGGCTGTTGGGTATCCAAAAGGCTTATTGTTAAATTCAGTGCACACATCACTCCCTACCTAAACACCAGTCATCAGATTCTGAGGCTTAAAAGTCCTGAGAAATCTTGGGAGCAGATATACCTTCCATGAGTTTAATTTTAGTCAGTTACTGCAGGGGGTGGATGTGAGTTTTCTTGACCTGTATTTGGGCAAGACTAGTTGCCCTGTTATTCCAGTTCTTTCTGAAATTAGGTTAATACCATAAATGCTGCCATCAAGGCTGCATGCACATAGTGGTCACTTCAGCCTGTGACCAGTACCAAGCAACTGACTACGAGTTATTTGGGAACACACAGACATGAAGCCTGTGCTGTTGTTTTCAAGGACAGACTTAGGGAGTGAAATTATAGCTGATACGTGAGCAAAACCAAAGCATGTCAGATAGGATTTAGACCTAATTAAAACTGTTCAATCCGTGGCAATGCCATGTTGCTGGAATACAGTATATTTTCCTGCAGCATGTGTTTGCCTGCCCTGTTAGAATCTGTCTGAGTTAGAAAGAAAAGCAAATCAATTTGAAGGGACAAGGGCCCCATGCTTGCGGTGTGATACCTGGGGCTGTGGCAATCCTTGTGGGCTGTGGGAATGCTGATCAAAGTCTTTACTGTAGTAGATGTTACCTTTTCCGTCCTGTTTCGTACAGGAACAGCGCAGGAGTTTAAAAGGCACTTTGAAATTCCAATCCTGAAGGGCAGAGACGCGGATGCGAGTGAAGCAGAGCGGCACAAAGGAGAAGAGAGGCTTAAGGAGCTGATCAGCATTGTGAACAGGTGAGCTTCACCCCCCTTCTCATTACATTTTGCATAGTCCCTTGGTGCACACAGGTATCTTTCCAAATTACAGTCCTGTAGCTGTGACATTCACTTGCACATGTTCAGTATGTGATTGTGCAAGTACTTATGCCCTTAAAAAAATCATAACGTGTTGTTTTAGTTTGAAAAATAGCATGTGGAAATGGTGGCTTTAGCTTCAGTACTCCCCAAGCACATGTACTTGGGTGCTAAATCATGATTTGAGTCTTCCATTTCTGTTTTCTGCTGAGATCTGACAGTGAGGTAGTATCCTTTTATTTATATTAATATAAGAACAGCGTAGGCAGGATAAGGCTGAAAACCCATCAAGCCCAGAGGCAAGTAGAGACAGAAAGAGAGCAAGGGATGTTGTTCAGTTTTACTGATGATGCCCAAGTCACAAAAGACTCCAGCTTGATCCTCCAGAGCTGCGTCCCCTCTGTAGGGTTAATGGGATTAGTAGCATCAGAAAATAAACTGTTGATCCAGAAGCAGCACTGCCATGTAAAATGCCATCTTATTTCTATTTGGTTGATTTTTTTTTTTTAAGGTATGGTTTCATTTTGTTCAAGAATAAAGCCATTATCTGCTGTCAATCTCTTCTCCCTAAGAACTCCTACTAGGGTCTTTTTTGATTCACAGCGTTGCTGCTGCCTTTGTTTCTTTTTCTTCCCTTTTTATTCTGAGCTTTTGTAGTTGAAAGTGATGGCAGATTGAATTTCACACTGTGAATTGCCTGTCTTGACTCAGCCATGACCTTGACTCAGGCCAGCTCCCAGAAACGTGGGCAAAGGAGAGGCTGCAAGTAGAGTTTTGTCCTTCCTGAGGTAGATGTGGTTCTTTTTCAGCTAATGGAGAAGGGTGTCAAAGTGTGTTCAAGTATGTTTCTGCCTAGCTGTATTTTAGGTCTTTTTTTCTTTTCTTTTCTTTTATTGTGCAACAGTCGGGATATGCAAGTGAAGAAGAGGACACACGCAGACAGTAACATGAATCAGTCAAAATTGGCAGGAATTACAAGTATGAGAGGGATCAAGACACCTGGAATCTTAGGGGTAGGGCTGAAAGGAGCCTGGAGAAGGCACCTAATCTGTCCTGCTGTCCTAAGGCAGAAATAGTTAGGCAGAAATAGTTAGACCAAAACCATGCCTTGTTCCCTGCCCAGCAGTGAAGACCACAGGGATTCCGCAGGCATTGCTCCTAGGCCATCACTGCGTTTCCAGTTAGAAGATGCTCTTAATCTATAACCTAACTCTTCACTACTGCAGTGTAAGCCTGTATCTTCTCATCGTGCTGTTCATGCATTTGGAAAACAGTTTATTTCTTTCTCTACAGCAGGCTTTGACAGATCTTGGGGTTGTCATGTGTCCCTGCTGTCTTGCCTTCTGCAGTTTTTGTAACTTTTCAGTCTTTCCTGGCATAACTGAGTTTCTGCACCTTTTCTTTATTCTGGTTGCTCTGCTCTGCTTTCTGTAGTCCATCCCACTGTGTGAAGATTGGTAGAGCTGCTCTGTGGGACGTTTCCACAGCGCCAGAGGATTTGCCCTTTTTCCAAATCTAGGGCCAGTGAAAGAAGTGCTCCTGGCTGAGGGGGACTACTGAGTTAGTGGGAGGTGATCACTCATACCTTGGTCTATATCCAGCGTGTGCAGCAGTTAAATCCTTTGCACTCTTCTCTGTCCACATGACTGGTCTGCTGTAGCTCCAGCTGAACATCTGAGGTTGAGTTGCTCTGCTAAGGGGCTGGTCTCTGCTGGGCCTGATTATGCCTCACCCCTCCAACCGCATGAACAAGACCTGGGAGCCCCACAGATACTGAGTTATTCTGTGCTCTGCAGCATGGGCTGATGCAGCGTGGGGCTGCCTGGATGGTTGATGGCTTTGCCATGTGTTGGGCTGTCACAGGCAGACTCTTAAGGACTGAATGTCAAAGGGACGGTCAAACTCCTGAGGAATGATATTGACAAAGGAAGCTTTTGATGTCGTCAGCTATCTGATTTTCTTTTCCCTCCGTGCAGGTGTTTAATCCGAAGAACTTCAGACATCCTGTCCAAATACCTGCCCGTGAAGATCGAGCAGGTGGTGTGCTGCAGGTATCCGAGAGCATGTGTTCTCCCTGGGCAAAGGGAACAGCAGCAGGAAGGACTCAACAGTCGCAAAAAGCCCTGTGGTGGATGGTTCTTGTGACTGTTCCTCTCTCGGAATGAAGCTGCAGCCATTGGCAGCACGTTGCTTTTCCTCCTGGAGCAGGAAGGGTCACCCCACGGCTATGGGCATCCTACAGCTGGCTGATGTGCTCTGGGCACCTGTGTCCGAGGGTTGCAGGCTCTTCAGAGTGTCTGCAGCTCTGGGATGAGATGGAGATGCTGCTTCTTCAGCCTGGGAGGCAGTTCTAGCCTGTCTGTGGTTTAGGAAAAAAAATTGGAGAAGGGAACCAAAAGGAAGCCAGTCTGGAGGAAGAGGGAATGTGGCTTGGGGAGGACTGGGCCTGCAGAGCTCCTGTTCTGTTTCAGGCTGACACCTCTGCAGGCTGAGCTGTATAAGAACTTCTTGAAGCAAGCCAAGCCCGCGGAGGAGCTGAAGGAGGGCAAGATCAGCGTGTCCTCCCTCTCCTCTATCACCTCCTTAAAGAAGCTCTGCAACCGTGAGTGTCTCGCTGCAGGGTGAAGGGGGTTGGGTTTTGCACTGTTGGTGCACAGTCCAGGGTTGCTGAGCTCTGTTCTCCAGATCCTGCCCTCATCTATGACAAGTGTGTGGAAGAGGAGGAAGGTTTTACTGGAGCCCTGGATTTGTTTCCTGCTGGCTACAGCACCAAAGCTGTGGAGCCTCAGCTTTCAGGTAACATTATAATCTGACCCAGGCAACCAGCAAGCTTAGTGTTGTAGTTAGTGTGTAGTGCCCCAAAAAGTACCCCTCCAAGGTCAGAATTTGGGAACTTCTCTAAGTTGTTGCTTTCTCTCTTTTTTTTTCCCCCTCTTTTTTTTCTTCTTTCCAGGAAAGATGCTGGTTTTGGACTACATCCTTGCTGTTACAAAAAGCACCAGTAACGACAAGGTAGTTCTTGTCTCAAACTACACCCAGACACTGGACCTGTTTGAAAAGCTCTGCAGGAACAGAAGGTTTGTCTTTAGGTTGTATTTGTCTGATTCTACAGAACTGTGCTTTTAGTTTACCCTCCACAAGAAACTGGCTATTTTTAAGGTTTTATCAGCAGGAACTTGTGACCTTTTTTGTACCTTAGTTCCAATTCGGGAATCCCTCTCTAATATGACTTGTGCTTTGGCTGCTGTGGGTCACTTGGCAGAAAAGTTCTGGCAAAGCTCGTAAAGCCCAACCCCTTCTCACAAGGCTGTGAAATATGGGTTTCTCTTGCAGTGCTCAGGCTGTAGTAAATGTTATGTATTCCAGGTACTTGTATGTCCGGCTGGATGGCACCATGTCCATTAAAAAGAGAGCAAAGATCGTGGAGCGATTCAACAGCCCCTCAGTATGTGGAATTTGCCACTTGCCCCCAGCTGTCCTCCCGGTTCAGGGAGCTGTGAGTGGACACGGGGGAACATTAATCCACATGTGTCTGTCTGTCTTTGCAGAGCCCCGAGTTCATCTTCATGTTGAGCAGCAAAGCGGGCGGCTGCGGTTTGAACTTGATCGGGGCCAACAGGCTGGTTATGTTCGACCCGGACTGGAATCCAGCTAACGACGAGCAGGCCATGGCTCGCGTGTGGAGGGACGGCCAGAAAAAGACCTGCTACATCTATCGACTGCTTTCCGTGAGTGTGAAACGATGCTAAGATCTTTATTTCTTTGAAGTCATTTAGGCATCTGACTTTAGTTTCGTGGGGTGTCTGATTTTGAAATCTCTGTTTATTGACTTGTCTGCAGTCAATTGTGGCATGTACACGTGCTGATTAGAGAGCAGCTCTATTCCAGGGGTCACAGCAGCCTTTGGAATGGGGCTGCCAGTCAGGCAGTGGGGTAGCTGCTCTAGAAGTCAGGAGACAGGAGCATTCTTGCTGCTCATGCCCCCTGACTGCATAGGGCTACACTATCAGTAGTGTATATTGATCACAAATACCCCTTGTTTGCCATTTGTTAACTTCATGTCTTCCTTGAATCACTGACAGTTTTATAAACTTGTGTTCCTTGATACTTTGATATTTTACTTAGGCAAGGCAGATGATGTTTGTTCTTTCTCTGTGCATTTGCATGTGATCTTTGTCCAGCTGCTCCTTATGGGGTTCCAATTTTCCTCTGACCTGGTTACATCAGGAACCAGAACACTCCTTTGCTTTTAGAACTAAAAAAGCCAGTCTACAAACCTGAGTGTTCACACTTCTCTGTTGTATTGCACTTGTTTGCAAAATAGCCGTGGATTTTCTCATAGATTTTGCGTTAACAATGTGGCATAGCGGCCTTGAAGCCCAGCTGTTTCAGGGGCAGGTCACTTCCCTCTCCTCAAGAGTGTGTTACTGATCAGTGTGTGGATGTGCCAGAAAATACAGCTGATGCTGATGCTCATGTCACCTGTAGTATCTTTTGCTGTTGCTTTTTATTTTTCTTTCTTTTTTCTTCTCTCCTAATGAGAGTTTGATTGCAGAAGATACTGTTCCAGTCAAGCACAGCAGTGCCAAGCAATAACGATGCTTTTTGTAGCCTCACTTGTCTCTTTCCCAACTGGTTCTAGCCACCAATGCTGCTGTTAGCTCCCAAACTCGTTCATACTGGTGTCCCAACCATGCTTCCTCTGTGACTTTCTCTCTTGTAGACAGGGACCATAGAGGAGAAGATCTTCCAGCGCCAGACCCACAAGAAGGCGCTCAGCAGCTGCGTGGTGGATGAGGAGCAGGACGTGGAGAGGCACTTCTCACTCGGAGAGCTCAAGGAGCTGTTCACGCTGAATGAGGCTACCACAAGTGACACCCACGACAAGTGAGTGTATTGAGTAAGGGTGGATGGGCTCAGCAAAAACCTGCTGCTGTTCAGTCTGCTGGATTCAGAACCTCCTTAAGCAAGAGGAGATTGATGGCCTCTTTTTTTTTTTTTTTTTTTTTTTGTCTTACAAAATCTTTGAGAGCTGGACAAATAAGTAAATTTGATCAGCTCCCTGTGTTTGGAGGTTGTGAAGCACTGCAGGTAACGAGAAAGCTGTTTGCCAGAGCTGGACTTGTCCCTGCCCTTTTTGGCCTTGTCCCCAAGTGCCAGAGCACTGAGCTGCTTCTGCTGCCAGGGCTGCTGTGGCCACTAAAGATCTTGGTGTCCTCTTTGCAAGACCTGTGGTATTGTAGGCACAAGAATGAGGACAGGAAATGCAGGAAAATGCTTCCCTGGGAAAGTCAGTAAGACTCAGTGCAGGCAAGGAATGGGGAGGAGTAGTTTTAATCCTCTGTGGAGCTCAGCTCTCTCGCCGTGTCTCGCCTGCACGGCTGCCAGGGCGGCTGCTCTCGTCTCCTGACACGGCAGCCCAGCTGTGCATCTCCAAGGAAGCAGAGCCTGCGGATCAGGGAGGGAGCCAGGAAAGGGCAGCTCGGAGCCCCATGTGCTGCCTTCAGCTTAGGAAGCCTGAGGCAGTGCTGAGAATGCACCAGCAATGAGTGTTCAGTCGCGGGCTCTGCTCTGAGCAGCACCCCTCACCTTTCGAGAGATGCTCATCCCAAACTGCCTCTGTGTCTGCTGGCTCCTCTCTCCTTGTTTTGGATGGAGGTTGACTTCTAGCAGCCCATTTCCACGTAGCTAAGCAGGGAGGGAGGCACCATTAGGAACAAAACCCCAAGGGTTCCGAAACCCCGTGATTCTTCACACCCCTGTCACACATTCCAGAGAGCGTCTGTGAGCCAGCATGGTGATTCAGCCAGCCTGAAAATCCAGTTGCTGCTATTGTAGATGGAGAGCAAAACCAGATGCTACTTTGCTGCATTTTTAAGCAACCCCTAGGCCAGCAAGGTGGAGGAAGGACCTTGCACCATGTCCTGACCAGGTCTCTCTGTTCCAGGATCAAGTGTCGTCGCTGTGTGAACGGCCACCAGGTGCGGCCGCCTCCGGAAGGGTCCGACTGCACCTCGGACCTCTCCCAGTGGAACCACTGTGCCGACAAGCGGGGACTGCAGGACTCGGTGCTAAAAGCGGCTTGGGATGTTGCTGTCACCTTCACCTTCCATCATCACTCCCACGAGGAGCAGCGAGGGATTCCCTAACAGGTCCCTGTCCCCATGGAGGCCAGGGCCGGCTCCTGTGGCAGCCTGCCTTGCCATAGTCCCTTGTCCCTTTTGAGAAAAGGGGCAGTGAAAAGCACGAGGTGCTGGTCTGTTCTGGGACTGTGGAAGAGCAGAACCACCGTGTGGCTTCGAGAGGTGGGAAGGCCCCTCGTGGTGGGCAGGGTCTGCTTGCAGCAGCAAGGAGCGTTACGGCTGTTTCTCTGCTACTGCAGTGTGTGCTTGGAAAAAAGCCCTGTAGGAACTGGGTGTAACTAGGCAGGGGGGCTTGATCAGCTCTGCTTCTCCTGCTGTTGATGTCAGTGCCTTCTACTTGGCCAAGTTCTGCCTTCAAGCTGAAGTTAAGCCTGCAGCTTTGGAGCAGCTGATGTGCATATTTTTCTCCCCTGACAGCTCTGGCTTACAGCTGCTGAGCAGGAAATGGCAGGATCCATTTCTGTGGTGAAATGTGAGCGTTTTTAATCGCATTTGAATACAGATTCATGACAAAAAAAAAAAAATCTGTCCTGAAAGAACATTCACACAGTAGGAAATTGAGCCCTCTTAAGGTCCTGCCCCTTGCAAAACCACCTGCTTTAGCATGGGCAGGATCCCCTGATCAAGTAGTATTTTAATATCCTTACACTGCAGTAATAAAACTCACATTTTGGTTCATTATGGGCCTTAAACCCACTTTTATTATAAAAATGTTACAAATGAACAAACTCGTGTAAAGTGAGGGCAGATACTGAGTAGGGGCAAGAATACTTGGCTCTGGCCCCTGATTGATGACTACAAATAAACAGCAGGCTACATGGGCTGTATTTTTTTTTTTCTAACAAAGCAGACTTTTCCACATGTACCAGGTTCAGGCTTGGGCCTTCCTTTAGCTTGTTTGTTTTCTATTCCCTTTATGGAGAATGAGGAGTTCTAATTTATGAGAAATTGACTGAAACAACAACTATGTTTTTGACTACACTGAGTAAAATTAATTGCTTGTGCAGAGACCTGCAGGTGCTCTCAGAAGTTTATTGGAAGCACCTGGCCCAGTTTGTGTAGCCCATGGGGGAAGAGGATGGAACTGGAGCAGTCACAAGACAGATCTTGCATCACTTCCCTGGAGCACCTCTTCAAATCAGTAGAGAAGTGACCAGAAACACTGTGTACTCTGCTTGGACCAAGGGGCGAAAAATTCCCCCCCAGCACTATCATGTAAGTCTTGCTGCTCATGGACTGAACTGCCTGTTGGTAGCAGCTGCTCCAGCCTCCCGTGTCCATCACATGACGCTGATGTAGTCAGCAAAGGCCTGCGAGGAGTCCCACGTGTCATTGACGACGCTGCACACAGCTCGGAGCCGCCGAAGCGCTTCCTGGGCCGTCTCCGTGTCCTGGTCCAGCCAATTTTGAAAGAGACGCAGGTGGGTGAATTTAATGCGGCCCCCTCGCTGCTGGATGTGGCCTTCCAGCTTCTTTGTGAACTCCAGGAGCCCATCGGGTTTGATGCAATTTGAGCTTTCCAGGGAAAGAAGGACAGGAAGAAAAACAAGTCATTAAGGTTGTAGAGTATAATTTGACTAGTTTCAATTTCTGCTCCCTCTGGTTAAAGCCCATGCAGGTACTCCAGACTTTCAGTGCAAAGTAATACAATTCAGCCATACAGACTGAGAAGGATTGGTTAGTTTTGGTGCATAACAACTGAAACAGTTAGACTAAGGGCTAGAAGTTATGAGAAGTGTTTAACTGTGGTAGGAACCATGGGCAAGTTAAACTTGGGCACCTGGTCTTAGCAGTGACAAAAACACCACAACGGATTCTTAGCATCTTACAGGGCTAGGGGCACGTTCAGCAGACTGGGACAGAGCTATTCAAGCTGATGCCTAAGAATAAAGGTACATAAGGACATTAGTTCTACCGCTCACAGCAGGGAGGGTCTGCAGCAATCTTCCAGAGAGGAGGGGAAAAAAAGGAAGCTGCATTAAGGCGGGGGCTTGAAGCATTTATGAAAGAGACAGTGTGATGCTTCAGAGGGCAAGGGCTGCTCCCCTCCTGGAGGTCCCCTAGGTTTTGTGGGACTCTTAGAGTGTTCTCTAAGCTTTTCTTGGGCATATTCCCGGGGGAAGGAACAGAACTGTGCTCAGGCTGCCAGACCCCATACTAGGTCTGGCCTCCTGAAATAAGAAGTAATGCTTTTAGGGGAAAAGTACCTGACATCCAGCTGGCAAAGAGAAGAGGAGGAATCTTCAGAGAAAATGTCTGCGAGGGCAACCAGTCTGTGATTCCCTATGTGGGAAAAATGCAGGTGTTTGTTAGAAACAAGCTGCAAACCATCCTACACGTTTAAATAAAGAGCACGCACCAAGGCGGTTCCCGGGCAGTTTGAGGCTCTTCAGAGTTGAGTTTCTCTTCACTGTATTGATGATTTCTGACAGAAACTCAGTAGTGCAATTTTCAAAGAGCCGGCAGAAGGAGAAGGTGATTTCTGGAGAAAAAGCAGATTCCCAGTGTATTTTAAGTACTCCCTGCACACTTCATTTTATTCCATAATTACATCCTGCAGCTGGCTGCAGCGCCTCACACCTAGGCAAGAGGAGCTTCCTCAGGAGCAGGTAGCAGGTTACAAGGTGCCTGCCGTAGGGAGCACAGGACAGCACCTCTGCTTCGTTACCTGAAGACAGCAGTGATCCCAGTTAACCCCCTTAAAAGCAGACAAGCTCTGTGGGTTAGAAACCTCTTGTTTTATTTCCAAGACTAGGGATTCCTCTCTGCAGCACAATCAACTTTCATCTGCTCCCCTCTGCCCTGTTAACTTAGAGAAATAGACTCATTCCCTCTCTGCCAACAGCTGTAGGGCCGTGGCATCGGCCTAGGGCTTGTGCATCCTAAGACCACCTCTTAAAACAGTGGCCAGTCAAAAGCAGCTGTCCTCGGGGTAGCCCTTTTCAGACACGAGTGCCTAGGAATTTGCCATACCTTGCAGGATGGGGTCCTGAAGCAAAAGCAGAACTTCCTTCTGGTGGTCAGCCAGGTTCACATCATGAAAGCTCAGTTTCTTCAAGTTTGGATTGTATTCTAAAAGCGCAAGTTCATGGTTAAAGCACTGTGTGGTCTTGAGCTAAAAAGAACCTGACACAATTGCCAGTTTATGCCCATACATTGACTGGATTGTGAATAAAGAGGGACCAACCTGCTGTGCAGGCCTGCTCACATGCTCAGCACAAAAGGGGATGGCTGGGACTCATTTCCTTTACTCAAGTGACTTCAAGGATGTCCGCATGCGGGAAAGGGACCCACCCGAGCTGGTTCTGTGCTAAAAGGGCTGAGGGAATTGGCAAAAGCCCAGAACTCACATCCAGGAGGTTCAGAGGCCCGAGCATTTAAATACTCCTGTCATGTGCTGCGTGCTGGGGTGCTGAGCCCCACCAACACAGTGGAATTGCTTCCAGAGTCAAGCTGAGCCTGGCTGGCTTCAGTGTGACTGGGGGTGTCTGCAGGAAGCCGTAGCAGAGCCCAAGTCACCTGAAAAGCCAGAGCGAGGCCCCTAGGAAGGGCGACCCCAGCACGGAGCTGCCGCCGCCGCGGGGTTTGTCCCGGTACCTTTGAGCGCCTGCAGAAGGTGCTCGAGCTCCCGCGGGGAGGGCAGCGCGGCGCTGTCGAGGGAGAGCTGCTGCAGGAGCCTCGACGCCCGCAGCACTGGCAGCAGCAGCGCCGTGTGCAGCGGCTCCCGCGGGAAGCGGATTTCCAGCTGCTCCAGGGAGCTCTCTGAGGGGAGAAGAGCAGTGCCGGAGCTCAGTGTGGTGGTGCAGCCGGCCCTCGGCACGGCCCAGCTGACACGGGTGCCGTGTAAGATGGAAATGCTTGTGTCAAGCATCCTACCCCACAGAGCTACATGGCAGCGCACGCTTGGCATAACTTAAATCACCAAAGGCCCATTTCAGGAGTCATGCAAGACCCTGGGGACACCAACATCTACCCTGTACTGGCAGCAAGCACTCCTTCAGGAAAGTTCATCCACAGCGTGGTCAGCGTCCTCCCAAGGCAGTGCTCCATTACCCCAGGGGATTCTCACTCGGGCTCTGCTTTCTGCTTTTCTGTTCTGGGTGTGACAAGGAGCTCTTGCCCCTGCACCTGACCTCTCCATAACCCAACTCAGGCGTGACCATCAAACAGCTGTAACAGCCACTCCTGGTTCAAACTGGAATCTGGGGAGACAGATACCGGCAGGCACCCAGGGACTAAGTGAGCACGTGCCAACCCACCTACCACTGCTGTGCAAACACGACCACGAGTCAGTCTCTTGGCCCACCAACAGGAAGGGGACAGCCCAGGGCCCACGGCAAGCGGGCTGTGTGGCACAACCTCCCCTTGAACAGCGGCTCCTCTCACGGTTGCTCCTCGAGGTTGAGAGATGCCTCATGCAGGACAGGTCCTCAGCAAGTGACTAACAGCGCTAGAACCTGGCTAAGTTGCATCTCTGATTGACTGTGCACATAATCCCTTAGATATAAGCCACTGACGACATCTGGGACAAGTTTGGATCTAGCTGCCCCCAGCACTCCTCTGAGGAGGAGCAAGGGCAAAGCACTCTGAACCTCAAGAGGACCATACTGACAATTGTTTGAACCTTTTATGCAGTTACTGTTTTACCCTCCATACAGTAAAGAAGCAAGGATACATTGCCATCGAACCCTGTTAAATCACTCTTATCTCAAGAAGCTGCTTCTCTTATGAGTGAAATACATTACTCTCCTGTGACAGCAACTAACAAGAGACACGAGACACCTCTGAAGAGAAAATGCCCTGATGCAAGTTCCCAAACTGTGACCCGAGGGCTGGAAGTGTTGAACCATCCCCTCTGGTGTGTGACTACCACGGAATACTGCCCTGCCACCAAAGCTGCCTCAGGCCTAGAGCCCACACACCATCAGAGAGACGGAGCCTGCTCAACAGTTCAACAGCCACATCCCATTCATCGCTCAAAATCCATTTCCTACCTGGGATTTCTGTCTCGCTGCAGCTCAGGTTCCCTCCTGGCCTGTTCCCCTCTGTGTGGTTTTTGAGATCGAAGCTGACGGAGAGCGTTTGGAGGCGGGGAAGGGCGCTGAGGATGCAGCGCACCAGCTCCATGCAGGGCATGTGGGAGAAGACGTCGCTGAGGCGCAGCAGGCGCAGGCGGCAGCGCGGCCGGCGGCACAGCGCCCGCAGCCCCGACACGACGCACAGGATGTTTTCTCCCAGGCCTGGAACCAACATTTTTACAGAAAGCTGAACTGGTGTCACACACACAGAGACCCAAAGCTGCAACACACACGGCTGGAGTGGCCGTTTTCATGGAGTTTTCTGTTCAGTGCCCAGCCAAGCAATGAAGTCAAGGGGTAAATCCACAAAGCACCAGAGGAGGAGCCTTCTGCTACACTGGAACTTGGGAGAGGGAGGCAGGTTTGGTTCCCCCCTTCCTCGAGGAGATATTTGAACACAGGGCCACGGGGTGTTCTGGGACAGATGGGCCCCCTTCTCTCCTGCTGGTGCTTCCTCTCCTAGTGCAACATTTGCTGGAAGAGATACCAGCAAACAGGCTGATTCTCCTGGGAAGCAGCAGGAAACCACCATCAAAGCTACCTGCAGCTGTCCAGTGCACTGACCTAGGGATCCTGAGGCTACGGTCAGGGTAAGGAGCACGAGTGCTTTGCTTGGGCTTCCTCTCTTTGCAAAGCTCCCATCTGCCCGCGGAACATGCCGTGTTTCTCGCTGTACTGTCTCGCACAGGCTGCAGTTGCAGCTGCGCTGTGCAAGCTGTGAAAACGCAGCACGAGAGGATCCACCTGCCTGGAAAAACGGGCAGGCTTTGGGCAGGCCTGTCCCTCCTGCCCCCAGGAAGGTGGGCTCAGGATGCCAATGGAGTTTGCCCTGCATTTGGACTTGCTTCCTGGACACAGCCTGTGCCCTCGAGATCTACTGGGTTTATATCCCCCTCCCTTTATTTCCTCATGCCTAACGGGTTCTGCAATTCCATATTTTCATTTCAGCATCATTTCCTCCAACGTATGAAGGCCCTTCTCTGTCACTTCTGGTTGTTCTTCTCCCTTCAAACAACTCTCACTATCTTTATATGATAGTCTCTGCCAATGATGTTTTCAGGACTAGTTACTCTCAAAATGCTCATTCCATTAAAAGCAAAGGAATTAAATGAGGGCAAATCAGAGCAGTAAATCTTACTATTAAAACAAGGCTAGAAGGAGGGATCCCATTCATACCACTAACCATTGTAAGACAGAACCAGGTTTTCTAATGACTCCCAGGAGCTCAGCAGGTTACTCAGAGTCCGGCAAGCATCCTCAGTCAAAGGAATGGAGAACAATTCCAGTGTGGAGACGCTTCGGAAGCGGTGAGCAGTTTTCAGTGAAAAGGTCCCAGCAGAGCCTCCTCTTTTCTTACAACCAGCACTGCTGGAACACGGAGATCCTGTGGCGGAGCCAGTACAGTTATCAGCATTTTCTCCTTCTGTGACGTTGTGTTCATGTAATTCCAAAGTATTCTCTCTAGCAACAGTAAAAACAAAATCATAAAGGTCTTCCTGGCCATCGTAGGTCCCCCTGCTTCGCCGGGGGCAGCGGCGTCTCCTCCCGAGCGCAGGTTTCTGACGTCTACGGGGCTTTTGAAGGACGGGGCGACAGGACAGCCCTTGTGAGGGGCAGTGAGGAGAAGACCCTGCCGGGGAGTCACAGGAGGCCTCGCCGCTTCCCTCCTCACACAGTGCGTTTGGGGAAGGACCATCTCTCCGTGGGGAGATGGCTGAGCTGTGGGGAATGTCGGCCCCGTGTCCATTCACCTCTGCTTGAGGGGCCTGTTGGTGCTTGTCATGCTCCTCCTCATGGCAAGGCTCCTGGCCTTGGGCTCTGTCCTCTCTGCAAAGGCCACAGGGGCTACTGCGGTAGGGAAGCACCTTTCCTGAGCACCAGTACCCAGCACTCATGCTCAAAATGAGAACGAGAAGGACCGTGTCAGGAACAGGCCAGGAATACATGGACACTTGGCTGACAGAGCCATGGTGAATCAGTCGGTGAAGAAGTACAACCAGCGCGCGTCGGATGGACTGGTCTGTGGAGAGCAGGTGCCGAAACTTCAGTATCTGCAGGGAGCTGGACAGGTTTTCGAGCACCTTCTGGTTGTGCTCAGCAGTGAGCTCGGTCACAGCCTGCAGCATGTTGCAGAGCGTGAGCTGGGTAACGTGCTGCGAGCTGTGCAGCAGTGGTGAAAAATGATGGTCGTTGAGACGCCAGTCGGAGGAAACATCCAAGACGCCGTGAAGAACATTGGAGAAGAATGTTTCGAGGAACTTCTTCCTCCAACAGGTGACACTCTGCAATTACATCATCTCAGGGTAAACCAGGACAAAAGCCACATCAACTAAAAGCTAACATCTTATTCTAGAGGAAATTACTGCTTTCTGTTAAAGTATCTATTGCTTCAAGCAAAGCTACTAGCACAACTGAAACCAGTTTCCTAGTCCACAATCTCCTTCCTTGTTGTGGAAGGAGTTATGTGTACTTATAGACTATGGTTAACTTGTCTCCTAACCATTCTCTTATTATGCCAAGTCAAAGGAGCTTTTTCAGTTCTACGTAAAGAAAATTCCTGCAAACCCATAGCATTTGCTTTGCGCTCCTTCTCCACTCCCCACGAGCAGCTTTTCCTCACCTCTGCGTTGGGTGGCCTGGTTTTCATCACATCATCCCAGAGCTTGCGCCAAATTGGCTGCGTTGAGAGGCCTGAAAAAAAGAAACTAGGCACCTTTAGCCCTTCTTCCAGCCTAAAGTGCTGCAGACAACCCCTCCTAGGGCTTCGGATGCCTGTTGGGGCAGCTCAGAAAATAGCTTTATAGGGGGAAACAAATTCAGCCCCTACAGCAGAAGAAAGATGTTTTGCATTTGTTACGTAGGATGTAACACAGTAAAAATACATCACCTTTTAAGAACCAGGACTTACAACATGGATGCCTTTGTTGGTCCTAAGAAGCAAATGGTAAGCCAAGGAAACAAAACACCCTACGTTTAGGTAAACCCCGCTGTGTCCATGAGGGGTTGGGATTTTGGAGCGGTGCGGCTGCCTTTCCGGTTGGATTTCCATGCGTTGGCGATGAGGTGGCCAAGCTGAGCAGCAGCGTTCCGGCAAGGGTTGTAATTATGTTGTTTGTGTTTCTGGGCTTATTCTTCCAGTTTGCCAAGCTCCATCCCTGCGGTCTGAGCAAGTGATGGTGGGGGGCGTCCCCCCATGCAGCAGGGGAGAGGGGCCCTTTAGTCCCTTCGGTTTGGGAACTGATTTTTCCAGGTTGGAAGGGTCTGTCCCTGAGATTGGGGGGGTGGGGGGGAAGAAGAGGGGATCTCCACAGTCTGGGGGGCAGCTGATCCTCCAGGTTGGGAATCATGGAATCACCCCTCCAGCTCGGGGGGGTGGGGGGATTCCTCCAACCTGGGGCTCATGACCGCACCGAGGGTCCACCGAGGGCTTCCCCTCCGTGCTTGGTGGCTGCTCGCCGCCGCCGGCGGGGCTCGTGCCTCCCCCTCGGGGTCAGTGTCTCCCGTGCCCGAGGATGGCGGTGGCGAGGACGCCCCTTCCCCGCGGGCTCCGTGTCCCCGCGGCCGCCCCGTCCCGCGCTCGCGCCCCACCTGCGCGCCGCGCGGCGCCCTCGGCTCGCTCCAGGTAGAAGACGTTGAGCAGCGGCAGGAGGCCGCGCAGGAGGTGCCCGGGCAGCGCTGCGGGAGAAGGAGAGGGCAGCGGCGTGCGGGCCGGCCCCAGCGCCCCGCGCCCCCCCGGCCCCGCGCCTTACCCCACACGTCGGCCTCGAGGGCGCGCATGCTGCGGCTCACGGCCGCGCCGCTCAGCGCCCACAGGCTGGGCGGCCCCTCCATGGCCGCGCAGAGCGCGCCTCAGCGCCGCCGCCACGGCCGCGCCGCCATCTTGGGCAGGGCGGGGGCGCGCCGCCACGCGCGCCATCTTGGCGGGGGGAGGGACGGGCGGCGCCGGCGGCCATCTTGGGGAGGTCAGTGTGAGCGGCGCCTCTGCCCTGCAGGGCGGGTTAGGAGGAGAGTACAGCCCGGGCAGGGAGGTCATGGCGAGTAGGCCGTGGTGTTGCCGTTACTGAAAGGAGAACAAAAGCAAGAGGTAGCGTCCTGCGGTAGGGAGCTGAGGCGAGTGGTGCCTGGCCATATTGGGAAGGGAAGCGCTCAGCTCCCAGGCGCCGCTCTCTTGGGAAGGTCGCGGCGCGCGTCGCTTCCGGGCGGGAAGCGCTTCCGGCGGGTGACCCTGGTGAGTCCTTCTGCGCGGCGGCAGCGGCGGCGCGGGGCGATGGGGCTGCGCGACACCGTCGTTCACGCCGGAGAGCCCGAGGTGAGCGCGGCCGGGCCGCGGACAGCCCGGCACTGCCCTGCCCGGGGGCCGCGGCGGGCGGTGCTCGTAACGTGTGCGCTCTGCTTCGTCCGCAGGAGGAGGAGGAGGAAGAGGAGCTGGTGGTGAGAGGCCGGAGGCGGCAGCGCGGCGGGCCGGGAGGTGCAGGGCGCCGGGCCCTTCCCGCAGCCCGGCCTGCGCTGGGGTCTGCAGGGCGGCGCGGTGCCCCTCGCAGCGGGGCGCGCGGGATGGCGGCGCCGAGCGCGTCTCTGGGCCTGGGCTGCGGCCCCCTGCTCTGTGCTGGGGTGAAAACCAGAGCGGGGAAGCAGGTTGAGTCCATGCTCTGGTAAGGATGTATGGCTCCCGCCAGCCATAACCGATAAACCAGCCGCCATCTCTGCAGGGGGAGAATCGCTGCCTTGCGCTGGGTCTGTCCTCATGGCAGCCCTGTGTCTGCAGGACCCCTTAACCACGATCAGGGAGCAGTGCGAGCAGACGGAGAAGTGCGTGAAGGCGCGGGAGCGCCTGGAGCTGTGCGACGCGCGCGTCTCCTCCAGGTCCCACACCGAGGAGCAGTGCACCGAGGAGCTTTTCGACTTCCTGCACGCCAGGGACCACTGCGTAAGTGCGGCGCGGTGGGCGCAGCCGCCCTGCTGGGGCTGGGAGCACAGCAGCGTGTAACGGTGTTTCTGAGGGTGAAAACAGTTCAACCATTGGCCTCGCCTGAGTCACAGTTGACAGGAGCTCTGAAGAACTGATTTATTTTGGGGGAACTGCTTCCTTATTACAGTTCTATCTGAAATTCTGTAGGCTTTGAACAATGGTGCGAATCATGTATTTATGCAGTACAAATACCACTTTGCTATATTAGCTTTACTCATTCAGAATTAACCCTTTTTATGATGCTGTGTAAGAAATTTCAGCTTGTTATCTTTTTAAGTGATTTTTCTGAGGCTGATAAAACGTTGAGAATAGCAGAGAGGAGCACCACGCACATTAGTGCAGAAAAAAAACAAGTGATGGGTAAAAAGATGTGCTAATTTCCAAATGTTTTGAACTGAGAGAATTTGATAGTAAATGCTTCTCTTTTTTTTTTTTCAGGTTGCTCACAAACTCTTTAGTAAACTGAAGTGAACACTGGGGTATTTATCCATCTGCTTCCGCAATGCAACAGAAAATTCTTCTTGAATTCACGGTGCTGCTTGCTGCCCCTTTCTTGTGAATGTGAAATACAAACGAAACAACTTCCTGGCAGCTGGGCAGTGATGGTCAGCATGTCGCTGCGTGTGTTTTCATGGAAGATGTGCAGCTACACAAAACACATGAGAATATTCTGTAATTTTCCATATTAAACATCGGGTTCCTGTGGAAATACCTTCCTTTTATTTCTTAATGCTTGTGGTTCTCACTTGGGCCAATCCCAGTTAGGATGAAACTGGGGTGGGTTATGGTGCCTATGGGAGGGGGGCTCTTCCTGACTTTTGGGAACCTCCTTTGTATGCAGCCTTTATGGGCAGCAGCTGGAATGCAATCCCATGAGCAAGAGTTTTTCTGCTTGCACCAGATATTTTCAAGCCCAACAAGATGGATATTGTTCATATGGTAACTAGTATTTAAATTAAACTAGATTCAGGAAGAAGGACGTGGGGTGACTTTTTTTAATATTAGACATGTGACTTCTATGGTGTACTTGAACAACTAGGAAAAGGTCTTTATAGAATCATAGAGCTGTTATGGTTGGAAAAGACCTTCAGGATTATTGAGGCCAACCGTAAGCTCTTCAGCACCATGCCTGGTAAACCATGTCCCTCAGCACTGGTTGAAGACTTTTTAAACGGGCTTTTTGTGATTTTTTTTTTCTTTAAGAGTTCTGTTCCCAGCCTTGAAAGCTGGTGCTCTCCCTAGGGAAGCATCAATGTGTCATTTTTTGTGGGGACGCTGCTAATTGTCCCTCTCGGCTGCTTCTTGGTGGCGGCGAAGCCTCTTTGGCGCCGTCCAAAGCAACGCGGCAGGGGAGAGAGGAGACCCTCCCGGGGCCCGGCTCCATCCCCTCCGCCATCCATCTCCCTTCGCCTGGGGCTCGGGGTCTCCAAGGACGGCGGCGGGGAGGCCGCGCTCCCAGGAGCCGCCGCCGGGGGCGGCCGCGTCCCCGCGCCCGGCGCTGCCCGCCCCGGGGGCGGTGCGGGGCCATGGCGGCCGCGCGGCTGCTGCTGCTGCAGCTGCGGCGGCCCGGCCCGTTGGGGCCGCTGCTGGGCCCGGCGCCGCGCCGCTACCGACACAAGAAGAAATGGGTGAGCGGAGCGGGTGGGATCCTCGCCGCAGGGCCGCCATTTCGCGTGGGGGATAGTGGGGGGTCCTCGCGGCGGGGCCGCCATTTCGCATGGGGGATAGTAGGGGGGTTCTCGTTGGCGAGGCCGCCATTTCACGTGGGGGATGGAGGGGGCTCCTCGTGGCGGGGCCACCATTTCACGTGGGGGATAATAGGCGGGTCGTTGTGGCGAGGCCGCCATTTCACGTCTGTCTGGGACCCCTTCGTGCCTGGTGCTGTTTCCCACCCTGCTATTCTCTACTCTCCGTTTCAGCTCCTCATGCCTCCCATTCCTTTTCCCCAAGGCTGCCACTGCGCCGCGCGTGCCGTCCACAGCGCTGGCGCTGCAGAACTTCGACATGAACTACAGCCTGCAGCTCGGGGAGGCCTGGCCTTCCGTGCGGGCCAGCCTGCTCTCCGAGCAGAAGTACGGCGCCCTGGTCAACGGTTTCGCCGACGTTGAGCGCGTCACCCAGGAGCTGGAGCTGGTGAATGCTGTGGATTTCGTTTCCCAAGGCCTCCAGAAGGCGCAGGGCTTGCAGCAGGGCTCCATTGTGGAACCAGCCGTGGGGGAGCAAAGCGCGTCCCAGGAAGCGCCCAGCGAGCGCCAGGCTGCAAAACTGCCGCCACCTTCAGCCCTCGTCACCCCCAATGTCAAGTGCTACACGTTCCCCAGAGGGGATATCACCCGCTTCCGTTCGGCACGGTAAGGTGGTCCCGCCAGCTGGAGAGCTGAGGGCTCCTTTGCTCCATGCAGACATTACAGACCTTTTTCTAAATTCCACCATGAAAAGAGACACTCGTCTTACAAGTTTAAGTTTCCTTAGGAGCCCATTTGGTGGCAATTTCATGACAGGAATATCAGGGATTCTTGGAATAGAAATAAAACTTAATTTTCTCATTCCAGTGTCGTAAAACTTAAGCAAAGCAAAAGCTTTGGTGTAAGGAAGAGTTGTTAACCCTGTTTTCTGTACCTCAGTATTAAATATATGTCATACTGGCATGTTTATGCATGAATTGAGTAAAGAATTAAAACTGTATTTTCAAAAGCCATTATTACTTCATTATCAGAAGTGCTACAGTATATCCAGCCAGACTTCTGTTGTTTTGTTGTACAGTCCTATTGGAAGCCATGCATTGTTATTGCCAGTCTCAGGGTTTGAGTGTGTGTAAACATCTGCTGCTTTTGTACATACCCAGCTTAACTTGCTTTGTTTCCTCACACAGTTGTTTATTTGTTTTCCACAAACCAGGCCAGACGTTTTGGGCATCCTCAACTATTACCTCCTGGATGCAGCCTCTCTTTTGCCTGTTTTGGCACTTAACATTCAACCTGATGACTCTGTCCTTGACCTCTGTGCAGCTCCAGGTGGCAAGACTCTGGCCATCCTGCAGACGGGGCTCTGTAGTAAGTAAATTCCCCCACCTTGTACTGCTGGAATGGGAGAGGTTGCTGTGATAGCTCTTTCTAGCCCAGGGTTAAGATGAGAGCTATGCTGACGGCAATAAGCCATGATTCTGTGGGAGTTATTTCAGTGCAGATCTTTCCAAATTTGGTGTGTTGCATCCCAGCAGAATGGGATGCGACTCTTGTGAAGATGTAGTTCACGGATGAGCTCCTGTCCAGAAACAAGGGAGCAAGGGTGGGAAGAAGGGTGATATTTTATTTTACTTTGTTTTATTTTATTTGTTTTGCTTTGTTTTTCTTTCACATAGAGCTGGGAGCTCCTTTATTCTAAGAATTAGGAGGTAGACAGAGACAGAAGCTTTTGCCTTTTGCAGGAAGCTTTATTTGTCAGATTTGGTATTTTCAGAGTGAATTTCTCAGTGTGTCCTTTTGTCTCTCTTACTTCAGGGCATCTGGCAGCCAATGATATCTCCATTTCTCGCACAAAAAGGCTGCAGCAGGTTCTCAATAGCTACGTCCCCAAGCAAGTCAGGGAAACTGTGTGTATCACTTCATGGGATGGAAGGAACTGGGCAGAACTGGAGGCTGGAACTTTCCATAAGGTTAGTAACCAAAACTATGAAGATAATCCCGTAAAATTCAGTTTCCTTCTATTTCAGTAGCTAAATATAGCAGCATAACTCGGTAGGCCTAGGTCTCCATAGTCTGACATGTAGCGAGGTAAGACTAAGTCACATATAGTGCTTCCTCTAGCTAAACTTGCCTGTTTTTTGCAGGATCTGGAGCAGGGATATCCTAAGTTGCACTTGTATAATAGTCCTTAAAAAAAACTACCTTATTTATAATCTGCAAGGGGTTAAATCTGAAGCTTAGTTACTTATGTCAACCACATCCTGGCTCGAGATCCTTGCTGCTGTCAGACAAGGGTGTGTTGGTGTGCCGGCTATGTTTGCACTTCAGCAGGTTGTTTTGTTTGTGGGGAGGTGGTTTTGCTGCTCCAGGAGGTGGTTAAGCCTTGGCAGTGCACAGCTGCATCCACTTGGGTAACTGTCACAGTAGCAAGAACCGGCAAGATGGCACTGAGTGGAAAGTTTAAATGACGATATGTGTGAGAATGTGAAATTATCCAGGACTTCTGTGTCTTACCTGCTCATCCTGAAGACTCAGAAGGCACCAAGCAACTAACAGTTCAGCGTAGGTGTATACCTAGGCAAGGTACAAAGAGCTACATTAATCCAGCTAGAGTGAATGGCAAGGGCAGAAGAGCTGCGTGAAGAGAAGGCTGTGGAAGAAGATTCCACAGGCTTGAACTGGGCTCAGAATCAGTGCAGGATCTCTGCTGCTGCAGGTCCTTGTGGATGTGCCCTGCACGACTGACAGGCACTCCGTCATGGAGGAGGACAACAACATCTTCCACAAAAGGAGATCCAAGGAGCGTCAGATGTTGCCAATGCTGCAGCTGCAGCTGCTGGTGTGAGTAAGCTCTAAGCTATGCTGTGTTGTCATTTGTGTGTTTGTGATAGCAGCTCTGTCGAGCGCCCAGCTGTGAAACTCTTCTCCTATTACATGTGCCTGTAGGAGAGCTCAGGCTCCTGCTGGCAGATGGGGAAAAGGCCTGTAGTTTTTGGAATTCCAGTAGTTGAATGCACCAAACCACAAGCAATGTGAGAAGGTAAAAGCAAGCTTGGTCAACTAAATATCCTTACAATCTCCAGCAGTAACCAGAAGGAGGTAATAAGGAGAGTTTAAGAAAGAGAATAGATATAGAAGTCTCTATCTGTAGCAATATCCTTTTGCATTTGCCTCAGTGCATGCTGCTGTGGTTTAAAAGAGTCTTGAATTTGCGCTGGTGCTGTGAGGCTGCTGAGTTGCAGAGATCAAGGAGATTAGTCTCTCTCCATCTCTTAGGGGTTAAGTGCTGGCTCCCTAATTCCAGAGGGCAGAAATGCTGGTGTCCCACTGCAGTCCTTTTCTCATGATGATGTGTGTGTTCGTTTTGCCTGTAGGGCTGGGATCCTTGCTACCATGCCAGGAGGAGAAGTTGTTTATTCCACATGCTCCCTCTCTCAGCTGCAGAATGAGTATGTGATGGAGAGAGCCATAGAAATTGCACAAACCGAGTACAACATTGGCATCCACGTTCAGGACTTGAGCTACTTCCGGACGCTCTTCCAGGATACATTTTCTTTCTCCTCAGACTGCAGGCTGGGGGAGCTTGTTCTCCCTCACCTTACAGCCAACTTTGGACCAATGTACTTCTGCAAGTTACGTCGAGTGTAGAGGGAATGACAGACCTCTTGGCTGTGTGGCAGCTCCAGGTACCTCACTGTACCATCCCGGGACACCTTGAATGCAACTGAACTTGCTTTCCTACTGCTGGCTCTGATGAAATATCCCAAATCTCCAGGGAAAGCAAAACTGGTTTTGTATTTATTTATTTTTAAAGTGTCCTGGAGGAAATTTCTTCACTGCAGACATAGAGAATAAATGATAAAGACCTACCATGGAGTCTCCTGCTCATTTATTTGTTTAAGGCTGAGGTGCTTTATTGTGGAAAGCAAGAGACACCTGACCAGGGAGAGCAGTTTACCCTGCCTGTCTCAGAAAGGGCTAAATCTCCCTGTGCGAATGATGATTTCTCCCTTCTGTTTTGATCCTGAATGAGCAGGTTCACAAAGACCATCTGGGGAGTCCAGGTTTTCTGGCCCATATCTCACTGTCTGCAAATAGTGCTGATAGTTTCTCTCTGCTTAACTCCTTGCTTTGCATTTTTAGAAGGAGCAGCCTGAGGTCCTTGAAGAAGAGGTTCTTAAGGAAGCTGCTGCTGTGGAGGTGGAAATACTCTTGTAACGTTTGAGATGTGCTAGTGGAAAAAGCACAGTGTTGTGGAAAGGCATGTGATTACTGTTGTCTCATGGGCAGGGTAGCTTTGAGGAAGAGGCTGGGAACAGTCTGGCACACTAGAGACTGTCTGCTGGGCAGCTGGAAGATGTTCCTAGGGCTTTGAGCAAACAGTACCTGTAAACTCACATAACCAAATTCATCAGTGAGTAGTAAATGAGAGATTATTGGAGCTTATGATAAGGTTTGCTGAATAGCTACACTTCTGTTTTTTTTTTTTTTTTTTGTGGTCAACGTATGGTTGGGCAGACCTGTCCATATTCATGCAAATACACTGTCCCCTGCACTGCTGTTAAAAGAGCCCACAGTTAGGTCTGTATGAAGTTACACCAGTGTGCCAGCAAGAAAATATTACTGAGCTTTATGGATCCTCTGCTCTCTCTGAAGAGAAGCATTGCCCTGCTTCTGCAGGACGTCACGTGCATGAAAATGAAGGTGAACCTCCCATCCATGCCCATCCTTCCAGGAAGCTGGCACTTCTCAGCCTGTGACCTTGCGAACCCAACGTAAGGCAGCACTGCTGCCGGCCCCACATTTTGGGCCCGCGTGAGCGTTTCTGTGGCTGCACAGTGTGCTTGGTCAGGGAACACTGCAGAGTCATTAATGCAGTAGGAGGAACTGATTGTTTTTGAGCATATCAGTTTATGGGAACAAATGAGAATGAGCAGCAGGATGTGATTATCACAGCATGATCTGTGAAGCCCCAATGTCAGGCTGGTGCCGTTAGTCATTCTGAATTTTTCTGCCAAGGAGGAAGGGGAGGTGGCCAAGGCAGAGGCCCTTTCTAGCAAAAGGGCTTGGTGGTGTGAAGAGTTTGCACAATGATGTTGTGGAAAAAGTATTTTGACACTTGCTTAGTCTCTGTCTCAGTGAGTGAGATGTTTAGAGATAAACACAGTGGCATCCCAGCAAAGATGGAGGAAATTAGGCAGATTTATAATCCTTTTAATGGCTAACTAGGAAACCCACCATGTGCCTTCCAGGCTACGTACGTATTGGCAAGGAGTGGGAGAGGCAACAGATGATCCTTTCTCCTTCCCTCCTTGCTGTTAGATCTTGCAGCTCAGAAGTGGGGAGAGGTCAGAGCACTCTCCTCTGTGTCTTGGTGCCTCCGGCCCTTGCAGGTCCAGGGCTGGAGAGGCTACATTGCTGTCTTCTCCCGGCGAAGTGTCTCCACCTCCTTCATGAAGCGCAGGCAGAGCTCCTCCTGCCACGGCAGGGCCACGCACTGCACGGCCACGGGCAGCCCCACAGCTCCTCGCACGGCCTGCAGCAGGGACACAAGCAGTGAGGCAGCACCCACGGGAGCTCAGACCTCCCACGGCTCCCTGCCTGGGCCTGGCAGAATGGATCAAGGGGCAGGGGGAAATTGCAGTGCAGGGCTGTAGGCTGGGGCTAGCAGAAGGTCCTGCTCACTGAAGCCTTGGCTTTGTAGCTCCCTTCTGCTTGCAGACTGTGAACTAGGCCTTGGATACTCCCCTAGTCCCTCTCAGATTTTTACCTACCATTGGGACTTGTGAGAAATGTATTTATGAAGCATATAGAGAATTTTACCTGTTTGTTTGCGTTCTTCTCACTGTGCTTATATTAATGAAGGCATTTAGAAAATCCTGATTTTACCAAGATTATTAGTCTGAGTACCCTTAACAGCCTCTGTTCCTTCCACACAGAAGGAAGTTGGAAGGGACCTTTGGGGATCATCTAGCCCAACCCCTCTGCACAAGCAGTGTCACCTAGAGCACATTGCACAGAATTGTGTCCAGGGGGGTTTTGACTATCTCCAAGGAAGGAGACTCTACAACCTCCCTGGGCAACCAGTTCCAGTGCTCTGTCACCCTCACAATCAAGAGTTTTTCCTCAAATTCAAGCAGAACTTCCTGTGCTTCAGTTTGTGGCCATTGCCTCTTGTGCTGTCATTGGTCGCCAGTGAAAAAGAGTCTGGCTCCCTTCTCTTGACATCCTCCCTTAAGGTATTTATATACATTGATAAGATCTCCTCTCAGCCTCTCTTTTCTAGGCTGAACAGGACTAGTGCTCTCAACCTCTCCTCATAGGAGAGATGCTCCTGTGCCCTCATCTCCTCTTTCCAGTAGTTCCCTTTCTGTGCAACAGACCTGCTTCAGTGTCCTGTCCCAGGGGTCGTCACAGTAGCCTTCATAAAGCTTCAGCTCTTCTTCATCAGCTTCCGTCACTCTGCTGACAGGTACGACGCCAGCGGGGAAGTTCAAGACGTTGTACAACATCGTGGAGGAGATGGCAGCTGAGAGAAGCAAAAGAAAGATCTCAGGTAGCCACCTATATTCTTTCAAACTTTAAGCATATTTCTTAAGCCTCCCGAGAAATAGCTGTATCTGGGAGGAGACACCACAGAGAATTGGTTGTATGTGAGTCCAAGTCCCATTGCATGAAAGAACTCTCCTCAAATCGCTTCCTCTACAAGTCTGTCCTCGTTTTCCAGTAAAATGCTTAGGGAGCCAGGAAACTCGCTAGCAGTCCTTACAGCTGCACATTCCTGTCTAGTCACAACCACAGAGGTCCTCTCCCCTCCTGGCAGGGCCCTAGAGTCACTTACTGAGGAGCTTCCCAGGGTACCCAGTGTTGAAAGCCGGGCCCAGGACAGGGCAAAGCAGGACGTCCAGCCTGAGATCCCTCCAGCTGGCGATGAACTCCGTGCGGTACGCCTGGCGGAGGAGAGCAGAGGGGACACCGAGGGCCTGTCAGCGCGTGGAGCATCTCAGCCTTTCTGAGCTGTGCTCCAGGCTCTTGCATGCCAAGGAGGCAGCATCCCGCAGGGCAGAGCACGAGGAAAAGAGGCCTGGCAAAGGCAGCAGTTGGTTACAGCGTTTGTCTGCACAATGGAGAAGCTACTGCAGAATCACAACACTACCAGGAAGGCCATCCTGGCATGAACCAAAGACCCAGCAAGCCCAGCCTTGTCTCTTCTTTGTGCTTTTCCTATCTTCTGCCCTCTTCAGCACTCCACAACCCCTTAAGTAATGACCCCAAGCCCCAACTCATAGCATAGTGTTGGAGAGAAAAACATACCATTATTTGATGCTGATGGTTCCACATCTTACTTGCTGACCTGCAAATGGAACCACAGTAACTTTTTAAGCCTTAAAATGAGAGAAAGACTTCCTAAATTATCTTCCAAATTGATATTCCTCACTGATTTTAGCAGTTATTCAAAACAGTGCATGTATCCCACTGTCTCCAAAGCTTATTTTGGAATCTCAGTATATGTCTGGGAAAAGATGAAATGAAGTTTCTTCTTGTGAGGCTGGGTTTAATACTCAGTTCTGTTCAAGCGTGCTGTATGACCTTATCTAAGTCCCTTAATCCCTTGCAGATCCCAGATTTGGTTCAAGAGGAAAGGTCTCTTATCAGACTGCCTGAGGTAGTTGTTAAACAGATATATTTTTGGTATCTTGGAAGAAACTGGAGAACTCATTTGTATTGGAGGGGATCTGGTTTCTTTATCAGTGTCTTTATTGCTGGTCTCTATACAGAATAACAAAAATGGGATGTGATGGGTATGTCATTTAATCCTTCATTACATAAAACTTTGGTTTAGCTGTGAAAGTGAATTTCTTAAGTGTTTTATAACTCATCTCGTGCCCAGAGGACTGCAGTCTGATGTGGTAGATGCCCAGAAACAGGGCTGACAGAGACCACGGGAGGCTGTTTTCCATTCCCCCACCCAAGGCAGGTTTGGTGGATCCAGCCGTTACTGATGGGTGCATCTGCTTCCTGGGACACCCCAGTGTCTCCTGGGGTCTCTCTCCCAGAGGGAATGCTTCCTGAGCAACCTGCGTGCAATGTCAAGCCTTTGACTTTGTGTCTTGGCCGTGGGAGATGCAGGACATGGTCAACTGCTGCTCGCCTTGCAGCAACCTAGAGCAGATTTGAAGCCCTGGGGGAAGGCATTATAATACAAGGGGTGTGTTCCTTAAGGCTAAAGTGTAGTCAGGACAGGGGGCAGCCCCTCCAGAGAGTATCTTGAGCCCGGTGTCCCTCACCCTGCTATGGGCACTCTTCATCCCCACAGACACTGCAGTGGGCAAATGAGGAGGTGCTGTCCTACCTTGTTCCACACAAGGCCCTCAGGTAGTCAGCCAGGCGGGGAAACTGCAGAGGCAAGAGAGTCCTGTTAGGCAGAGCATCCTGTTAGGCTGTGATGTGGGACACACAACCTGGATCATCTTGGGAGACCTCCAGTCACAGCCCAGCTCTTTCTGGGGACACTTCTCTGATAGTGTCAATTGCTTAAAAATATTTCTCGTAGCTCTTGTCTGTGCTCGTTTCCAACTTTGTTGTTGATTCCCAACTTGTTTCCTTCAGCCCTATATTTGCATCTGACATAAACACTGATGTGAAACAAGTCACCTTTTATTTTTAGTAAATAAAACATTTTTATGGTGTTATCCCACAGAAACAAGATTTCTGCAGACACTTTGGTTGTCTCCCATTCACTGCTATCTTTTTGATCCTGTTAGCTGAGAACAACCCAAGTGAACAGAGAGCCAGAGAAAACAGAATGGAGGAGAGAAATGCTACAAAATGATGCTCACTTGGTGAAGGGGCCACTGAGCATCAACCCTTATTAACTGTGAGAAATTCCCATGAAAATAAGCATTTTGGGGAGATCCAAACACAGGGATAGGGCTTCAGGTTCCAGAGTGCCTGTTGCTGTGTTTCCCAGTTGCATGAACCAGTAGGAAAGTGGGCACAGCTGCACCCAGTCTTTGAATAACTCCTTAGTGTGGCCTCTGCATTATCCTCTTACACCTCTTGGCTGGTCCTTTCCTCATTTCCTTAAATCCCAGCAAGAAAAGACCTTCCAAGCTTTTGCCTTGGTCTGAAATCCCAGGATTTCCAGTTAAGGAATCTCCCAGTACCACCACCCTTTCAAGCACCACAGGCTTTACTGACACAACTCTTCTTTGAGCCAGAGGCTGGGGACTCACCAGAGGTTTAAGAATCAGAGCCAGCAGCTTCTTCCCCAGTGTTGGGATCCTGTAGCAATTCACCTGTGGTTTCAAGCCTGGATCTACAATATCTCCCGTGCTGAGGAACAGAGAGGAAGAGGGAGTCATGGCAGAGAAGCCATTTGCTTATCTCAGAAGTCTGAGTATCTCTTGTTTGGGGTGGGAAAGATGAGTCAGGGACCGAGATGTTTTATGGCACTTCTGCCAGAGGATTCCTACTTACAACAGATCCAAAAAAGCTTTGCCTCCGTCAGCAAAAAATGTCTTCAAAAACAGTTCGGTCATGACATAGTGGATCCGAGGTGGAGCAAAGGGCACCAACTGCACCAAAGTACAAGATAATGTGGCAGCTTGGGCACGTGGATGGTTTCCCGTGTCTGACTGTGGAAATACTTCAAATGCAGGACAGCCACTTCCCAGGAGAATGAGAGGGAACAACAACCCCAGAGATGTGTGTGTGACTGCTCTGTGAATGTGGACGTAGCGCCTTTCACCAGAATCTCTGTTACCACAGAGTATTTCCCCCACACTGTTACCCATGGCTGGTCCATTCTCAGATGGACTTGGGGCTCCTATCTACTTTATGAGGAATGAGTGCAACCGAGAGAGGCAAAGCTTGAGACACCCTAGGAGAAGAGTTTGGTGAGGTCAGGCTCACCTCATGCCCAGCTGCCTGCAGAGCATCCTTGGTTTCGTGCACTGCCCGTCTCATGCAGGGAGGGAGTGGGAAGTAGCCATCAGTGTCATAGTACCCGATCCGGAGGGGAGCAGAGCTTAAATACACCTAAAGGGAAGGAGACACTAGTTAACAACTTCCAGTTTTACTGTGACTAGACCTGCCGCCCTCCTCAAGCCACTACAGAAGGGGATAGAAGGTCCAGGTGTTAGAGAGCTGCTGCTTATGTTTTCCACAAGTTTCCCTTTCCGAATATTCGGGACCCTCCTTTCTCTCCATTCTTTTCCCCACCCTTTGCTGGGGTTTCTAAATCCAAAAACCCAACATACAATGACTAAGAGGCAAAAAAGAATTACTTTGTTTTTGTTTTTTAACCAATCTTTTTCTAACAGTTTGACTTCTGCCTTCAAAGAAAATTAGCAATGTTGTTATGCTGTTATCATTTGTGAACCCTTGATAAATATGCATGTTGAGGAGGTATTTTTTCCTTCTTGTGCTGTGGGATCCTTGGAGCTGTCTGGACACTGGACTCTCCCTCCCTCCATCTGTCCCATGCCCTGGTGTTCACTACTGGCTCTATAATTCCACAGTGGGAAATTCCACCTCAGACTTCTTGTGGCTCACCCCTAAGAGCATGGAATAAATGGCAGTCTCTTCACGTTTTGACATGAAGGCGCCCTTAAGAGGACCAGGGCTCCTTCCCTAAGGACTCACCTCCTCATTGAAGGGGATGGGGGGCACAGTGGGGTCCAGCTGGAACATCTCCTTGCAGAGCAGCGCTTTCATGCACAAGGCCAGGCTGTCCACGTCCCTTGCCATCGGCCCCAGTACACAGGGAACTGGAGGAGGAGGAGAAGCAACATACACTTTGAGCAAGCAGCTATACCAAACACTGGTTCCCTTCTCTGTGTGGCCAAGTTGGCTGCAAGGGATGGTCAGACAATGAGGTGAGATGATCCAGGGAGCCTTCTGACAGCTCTTGGTCATTGCAGAGCTTGTGTGTGCGCTACGGGGACCACTGTTTGCCTCTATGCTGGCCAATCCATCCGGACTTCCTCTGCAAAAGCAAAGATTATTAGAGGCATCAACCCTTCAGTTGTACTTAAGACAGGTCTAAGCTTCTCCACTAAAATATCATGTTGTTATCCTCCACTTTATGTGCCCAGTCATATAAACAGCTGATCCTTGAACTGAAGGCACATAGGTTAAACAAAGCAGAGACAGGGAATAAAACCCTTCTGCTTCTACAGCAGGCCTTAGAGATGACATAAGGGACCTCATAAGGGTCTCTTGGGTGACCCTAAGGAGCTGTAGCAATCTAGGCACACTGAACCCAAGCATAAGCCTTATGCTGTCCTATGAAGAGTCCAGACACAAGTAATCCTGGCCTCCCCTTCCACCCTTCCTGCTCCCACAGCCTTTTTGATATATAGAAAAACAACTCTAAATTTACATACCTGCCAGGATCCCGTTGACTGGGCCACTTGCTCCAGACAGGCTGGGAGGGGGCACAGAAAAAGCACACTGTCATTTCACCATTAGTAAGATAATCCCAAGAGACCTGGATGGCCGGGGTGGGTCTTCGGTCTGAATTCCCAGTCCCTTGACAGGGGCCTGCTGTTCGGTATGACAGATCTGTCAGTTTGCTGCAGCAGCCCCAGCTCATCCTTGACCACAGTTGGTGCCGGACAAGGAACGTGTGGGCTTGGCGGGGCTGTGAGGAGCAGCGTGGGTTTGGAGGCTCCTTGCAGAGCCTGGCACCTACCTGAGCCTGTCGCCCGTGGGCTTAAGGCCGCACAGCCCGCAGAAGCTGGATGGCAGGCGGATGCTGCCACCAATGTCCGACCCAAAGCCCAGGATGGAGCCTCCCCCTGCGATCAGGGCTCCCTCCCCACCGGAGGAGCCTCCGGGGCTCTTCTTGTGGTTGAGAGGGTTCAGCGTCTGGCCGAAGATGGCATTGCTGCAGTCGTAGCTGGGGAGAAGAAAATCAGCAAGCAGCCTGTCAGGAACAGCCTAATGCCTTCCCTCCTCTGACTGTCCCTTGCCCTGAGCCCGTGTGCCACAGCCAACCCCTTCCTCCACTGTAATCCCTTAGGGACATGGCTCTTTCCCATCAGAAGGAGTTGGGAACCAAGGCTCAGGCTTAGGTCACAGATCACCATGTGTGAGCAGGGAATCAAACTAGGGCCTCTGAGTCCCAGTGCTGCATTCAAGCTGTCTACTGTGGGTTGTGGTGGAGAAAACACAGCCAAGTGCTCCCTCAAATACATGAGTTCACTTGATTTTTTTCTTTGTGTGCCTTTTCCATTAAATCTTATTAAATGGCTTTTATAGCCATTTTCTACTGAACTGGGATGGCTGGCAGGAAGGGGAACTTGGCCAGACAGTATCTCAAGAACCATAAGGGAGCCTGTCCCCTGGCTCTTGCGCTGGGTTTTACCTTCAGGAGCATGGCCAGAGAAGAGGGTTCCAATAAGGCACTACCTGAAGAGAGATTGCGGCACGTTGGTAAATGCAAATGGGATGGCCCCCTGTTTCTTCAAAACCTTGACTAGGACGCTGTCCTCTTGCATTGGGGCATTCAAGAACTGCACAAGGCCACAGGTTGACAGATGTCCCTGTGAAGAGAAGAGACAGTGGAGAGGATCCTGCAGAGGGTCAGTGCAGATCCTCTGCAGTTTGGGAAGGAAGACCTGGTATCTGTGTTTGGAGGACTAATCTGCCCCTTTTTGCATGTGCAGTTGCAGGAAAAGCCAAAGACTCCTTGTCCCAGTGATAACTATGGTAGCAAAGAGCTGCCAAGCACTTGTAGGGGTAAGGCTTCCCCTAAAGCTGTCCTTGTTCCTTTTCATGCTCACCCATCCCAGACGCAACTCCACAGATATTCTTCCTTTGCCCAGTGCCTCAAGATTGAACCCAGTGTCCTGCTCCCAGAATTAGACGTAATGGATGTTCTAACCCCAAACCTAACTCCCTGTGGGATGTTTTGTGGGCACAAAGGGAAGCACCTTGTGGCCAATGTGATCCTTGATGCTGACCGGAATGCCGTAGAGCAGCCCTTTCTCCTTTCGTCGTTGTATTTCCTGGAGTAGCTCCTCACACTCCGGAATAAAATGTCGTAAGCAGTTTGTCTGCTGGGTCACTTCCAGGGCCTTTGCCAGGACACATTGAGAAAAATATGCTGGTTAAGAACAGTCCAATTATCCAGGTACAATCAGTAGCTACCTGGATTACTAAAGGAAAGACTAGTGGTTCAGCATGAAAGATAAGCCCTTCCTAGAGTATCCCAGATCAAACTGCTTAAAGGGCTACCCAGGAGGGGTCTGGCCAAGGAGACAGAGAGATCCCTTTTCTTTTACCGTCTTTCTTCTACTACCTGCTCTATCAAAGACTTGTCATCATCAACAGCTCCAGCAAATCCCCTCAACCACCTACCACACACCATGGTGTGGGGAATGCAAGTGATTTGCCCTTCGTGCTGTGAATGGTTTCTCACCTTCTCTATGTAGGTGTAGAGGACCGTCTCAGGGGACAGAGACCCTTCCCGCAGTCTCCTGGCGAGCTCGACCAGGGGCAGGGACAAGATGTCAGTGCTCTGGACGTGGGAGACCTGCAAGGCGAAAAAGAAGGGGACACCAGGACAGCACCTCCAGGTACTTGAGGCAGGGCTTCTGGGCTTTCCTCCATGCACTGTGACACTTACCCTTGATATAAAGGTGATCTCAGCTGTGCAAACAACAGAGCTAATGAGCTGGTAATGAATTCTTTGCACACAAGTCTCAGGTTGGCCCTTCATCCCTCCATGTGGGTACAGGCACTGCTGTCAGCTCTGGAGTCAACCCAGTCTGACAAGCTCCAAAGAAGCCAGTAGGGCCTACTCAAATGAATAAGCCTGGCACTTCTCTACTACCAGCTCTTTCTATGGTTTAATTTTATATTCAAAAAAAAGGTTCATAAAGGTGTATATCACTTGTAGTTATGTGCTTTCTGTGTAGGTACATTACCCGTGTAAACCTGTAAGGGTTTGCCCATGACATAATCAGAAAAGAGCAGAACAGGGAGGAAAAGGGGTTAAAAATCAATGTCCCAGTAGGAATCTGTCACCACATCCATGCAGGTTGGGTGCCTGCTTTATTCATCCCTGCTGTGTCCTAGTTGTTCCCAGAGGACACCAAATGCCTCTGCTTTGTTAGTGTTAAGTCAGGCCAAGCATCTCCTGGGCAGTCTGTGGGTCTGGGAGACCTCCCTTGTCTTCACTCTCATCCCTGCAAAAAGCTCTCTTGAAGACTCTCTGAGAGCCATCAAGAAGGTTGTAGAGCCAAAGATACAGGGGAAGGGTATGGACGGTTGAATAAACTCGGAATTAGGAAGAGAAATTTCTTTCTTGCACCTCTAGAATGAACAGACATTTCTAAGTCCTTAAGAACCTGAATTTGTGTCGGTGAAAGTGCAATGCGTTATCACCTGCGTGTCCAAAACCCCTTCCTAGTGTGTAATTCACATTTCCCTGGCTACAGACCCTCGCTGTATCTCATCCCACGTGAGGAGAGCAGTGATCTCCCTTCCTCCCAGCGCAGCCTTTCCAGGCTGCTGGCAAATCTCTTCCAGGCTCCGTATTAGAAAAGCTGTAGGAGAGTGAGCTAGAAGGGGATGGAGAGAAACATCAGCAGACCCCCCCGGTGTGATCCAGACCCCCGAGGGGCACCTTACCTGTTCTTGGAACCGCTGAACAGCCTTCTCCATCCTTTTCACACCCTGATCCCGGCTCCTCCGAGCCTCTTCCATTTTCTGTTGGATCTGCCGCTCGCCCAGCCACCTCCAGACAGCCAGGGCTGCGACTGAGCCGCAGAGCAGGGCGAGGGCAGTGGGAGGACCCACTTCCCACTCCGGCAGGAGCTCCCAGAGCTGCTGCTGCTCCATGGTATTGCTGCCCACCGGTCCTGGGAATGGACCAAAAGGTTGAGACAGCCTAGTTGCCTTCCCAAACCTGTCCCTCTTCCCACCACCACTATGTGAGCTCAGAAAGTGGTTTGAAAGTCCAACGCCAGTCACCGCAGAGCTTCCTTCAGCAAGGCGTGCGGGGGACAATGATTGACTGGGAAATGGGGAAGGTGAAATCGGCATGGTCAGTGAATCTCTGAGGCATGACGGACGTGTCCTGGTGCTCTGGACCATGGTGGGATGACCTTTGGGAGGGAATGGCTGTGGGATAGGTGAAGAGAAGACACAAGGAAATAGCTGCTTTCCTATTTCCTGGGCAACCTAGAAGGACAGTGTGAACTGAGAAAAATCTAGCTGGAAATCACAAGATTTCCCCACACAGCGATGGTGATGGTATGTCAAGAGAGCACATATGGGCTGGGTGCCTTGTTAGCTCCCAAACTCCTTAGCCCGTGCTGCTCCCCTTTCAGCTGAGATACAGCTCAGCACTGCCGTGATACATGCACAGCGGTGGGTCCCCATTCAGACTCCATGAGTCTCTGCTCACAAAGGTCGTCACAGAATCCCACAACCCAGTCCCAGTCCAAGACAGTGTGAACTGGATATAGAAAGACAAAGAGACCTTCTCTCATTAAGGCTAGAGATTCCACTCACACACTCTTTTTCACCTATTGTCAGCTCCATTCTAAACTGTTAGACAAGTTTGCTCTTGCTTCCCCTTAAATTTGGTGACAGTAGCAAATATGCTTTTTGTTTTTAACTGATGAGATTCATGAGGGATTCTGGTCAAAACTCTCTTTGGCATCCTCTAATAAACAGTCTGAAGATTACAACAATTACCTAGTTAAGCTGGCATTTTACTGTGTTCCCTCTGCGTGGCATCCGCAGCAAAACCACTGTTGGTTTTACCAGACTAGGCCCCTTGGGACAGACCAGCAGCCAATCCAGCTCCAGCTCCTGCCCGTGACACCAGCTACACCAGGCAGATGCATTGGGAAGGTGCGTGCGAGTAGAGCATGCAGTGACTCCCAAATCCTCTCCTCAACTCCAGGCATCTGTGCAAGGGCTTCCTGAGCCAGGGGTGGGCTCTGAGGATCTGGGTGTAATGCAGACCCCTGCAACTAGCTCAGCAGATGAGGGAATTATTTACCCCTTCCTGGGAGGCATCTGGGGCACTGGCTTCCCACATCCGCTTGCACGCTAGGTCTTGCTCTCTGATCCTGCCCTTTAGACACCTGGTAAATGTTTAACGGAGGCTGAGCCGGCTGTGTCCGAACAGACTCGGCCTTTCAAAGGGGATTTTATCAGCAGCCACAGCGGCATTCGCAGCGGCCGAGCCTTGGTGAGGGAGTCGCTTTTCCCGTTGCTGGGCGAGCATCTCTGCCTCCCGCACGAGCCAGAGGCACAGCTTCTCCGGCCACGGCAAAGCCATGCGCTACAACAGCCACAGGGAGCCTCACGGTTCCCTCCAGTCTGCAACAGGGACACAGGAATGGAAGTACCTGCAGGGGACTGAAGATTAAATCCTCCCAGCTACGCAGCCAAGAGAAACCCTGGACCATCTCAGGGCAAATGCTAGACAGAGTCCCCAGTGCACCTCCAATCCAAGTTCCGCATCCATCAGAGTTCCCAGAAATGCACGGGACTTGGGCAAAGAAGTTTCCTGTGCTTGTTTCTGCACCCGACACAAACTGACCCATCTTGCTTTCAGCTGACCTGGTTCAGCTGCTTAGCCCAAGGTTTCTGTAGTTCCCTGTGATGCTCCAGTCCTGCTTCACCAGTTTCCATCACTCTGGTGACACAGATCAGTCCTGGATGGTGGGAAAGGCTTAACTGGGTGTCCAGTGAGCCAGTAGATCATTAAATTACTTTACAATGCGAGTTTAAAAGGATATGGGAAAATACTTTTTTGCACCAGATCTTTGTGACATGGCCCAACTTGCCAAGAGAAAGGTCTCTTACCTTTTACTTTTGATGGCTTCTCTCAGCCTGGAAAGCTGAGACCATGTAGCCATGTAAGCAAAGGCAAAGTTAAACACCAACCCCTCCTGAGCACACCCCCCCAACATTTCTATCCAGAAAGAGAAATTACCTCCAGCACAATATTCTGCTGCCACAGGTTCTTCACTGACCCGGAAAGTGCAAAGACCACAGTAAACTTATAAAATATCACATATCTGTAATGCTTTGCCATGACCAAACCATTTAACAGATAGGAACTAACCCATGCTCACCACCTTCATGTGACATAGCTGAGCATGTTGCTTTCCCCATTTTTGTACATGGTGAAACTGAAGTGGGGAAGCAAAAGCATGTCCCAAATGACACCTCAGGTCCACAGATGAGGAGTCAGGTCTATCTGACTCACAGCTCCATCTTTTTTTTCTGAGGTTTTTCTCATATGGCTTTGGTTCAAGCCCAAGATCCCCATGTGGGAGTGGTGACCATACTCATGAGAGACATAGTTAGTACCATCAGATGGTGCCTCATTTATTTCTAAGCACCTTCTTTGGACTTAACTGGAGTTTCAAGAACATCCATTTTCATTGGAACTGTATTTGGCGCTCAAGCTTGGACTGGGGAACAAACAAAACCGCATCCTGGTCCTAGATACTGACTTTCCAAGGGCATCTTGCCTTTGAAAAACTGTCCCAATTCCGAGCTATCCTCACCTGCATTAGTTTAAAGGAGATAAAGTGGTTGCAGCCCCATCACACATCCTCTAGACATATTTATACACTTTTTTATAGCATCAGTGACCCATTGTCATTGATGCCTGGTTTTTGTGACACTGATGAGGAGGGCTGTGCTGTGGCTCCTTGCCCTGCTCTGGTAGGACTGAGAACCATGAGTCAGGCTCAGGAGCCAGGATTGGCACATATTAATGTAGTGCAGAAGGAAGACCAGGGTGAGGCCTCATCCTGCCGCATCCATGCCACACTGATGCCTTGTTTCAAAACACAATTATGTGATCAAAGCATTTCATCCTCCTCCATCACCCCCACATTCCCTTCCAGCCTGGAAGGGCCAGCCAACAGGTCCAGAAAGCACAAGAGTAGGATTAGAAGCACCAGACAGCTCAAACAGTCCAAAAGCAACCACAGTATTGCTTGAACCCAGGTTTTCCTCAAGTGCCAACCAGCAATTAAAAACAAACAAACCAATAAAACCCCTCTGCTCTCATTGTTTAGCTGGAAGAAACAACAAGAAACAGAAGTGAACAAATAAGGTCTAGAAACTGTTTCTCACATTATACACCTAAGAAAGAAAATGAAGCTTTTCTTCCTCTACTCACTGCATGTTTAAACTGTGGAGCCCACTGCCCGTGGGTGTTGTGGAGACTAAGAGAGTAAATTAGTTCTCGGTTCAGGATGGGACCCATCAGGTTGATGAAGGAGAGCTTTCCTGGAGGTTGTTAAACACAGTGGTCTGACTACAATTCTTCTCCAGAAAGTCTCTTAATGAGCTAATGGCACAAGTAGAGAAGAACTTCTAAACTTACTGGTTGTATTCTCCCGTATTTGCTACTGGCCACTTTTGGCAAAATATTGGGGTAAATGGCCCTTTGACCTTGTATCATGCAACAGATCTTACAACATTACAAGCCCATTACCGGACTCCTTTGGTCCAACATTAACTCTCATTAGTTTTGGTAGTAACCTTTGGCTCATATTTAACTCTAACAAACAACACTGAACCGAGATGAGATTTTGCTGACTGATTTAAAACAGCCTTTATTGCCAGTTTAGGGAAACAGTAATTCAGAGTCTGCAGCTCGTTACCTACAGCCTACAGCTTGCTTTGTGCATCGAGGAGGCAGGCTGGAGTGATGGGCAGGGGATGAAAAAGCACATTCGTGGTGAAGAAGCTCCAGAGATGGCCCGAAGACGTCACATGTTTCTCCTCAAGCCGCGGGTGAGGGTCTGCACCTCCTTCATGAAGCGCAGGCAGAGCTCCTCCTGCCACGGCAAGGCCACGCACTGCACGGCCACGGGCAGCCCCACGGCTCCTTCCACAGCCTGCAGCAACGAAGAAATAACCAGTGTGGTGCAAGTGAGAGCACGGGGGAGCCACGCGAGGGGATGAGCTTCCTGACATTAGACAGACCAAGGAGGACGTGCGAGAGGGCAGACTTCTAGCTGCTGAAAACCAGCCTAGCTGCACCACAATCAGGGTCCTTACACGGTGCACACAAATCTGTTATTAAAGAAACTCATCTTATCTGGAGATGAGAACATGAGAAAAGTGTTCTGTGGTGCCAACAGCACAGTTAGAGCCTTCTGCTGCGAATTAAATGTGACTGAAACATTTCCCTTGCTGACCTCTTTCAGCCTCTTATCCCAAGGGTCCCCGTAGTATCCCCTGTAATGCTTCAGTTCTTCTTCATCGGCTCTCGTGACCGTGCTCACTGGCACCACCCCAGCAGGGAAGTTTAAGACGTTGTATAAGTTGGTGTAGGAGGTAGCAGCTGGAAAAGATCACACAGAGCATACAACGTGGCATGGTTCAGTGTGCTGGGCCAGCAGGGATTTTCAGATGACAGTTTGGGCTGGATGAATTGTGGATTGGAAGTGCTGAAGCTGAGGAAACCATGAAAAAAAGCACAAGTTTTAAAGGGGCTTCTGGTAGGAAAGTTTCTGGGCCACACATGTGTAGAAAACAGAGATAACCTCAAGCCTTTCATTATGAGGGAGGAGGAGGAGGATTAATCCGCTCTGGGAGAGAGCTAAGTCCTTGATCTAGTTTAGACATATCCCGACTCCCTTTGTTCCATGCCCCAGGGAAAATCCTCGCTATGTTTTCAAGATAACCGATTTTTCCAGCTCAGTCCTGGGGACTTTGGATCTGAAAGGGTTGTTGCTAAAGAGATGAGGAATTCAGGCTATGATAGCTAGCAGCTATCAAAGCACCTCTCTGCAAGTCACTGCAAATAGCAGAACAGCTCTGTTGCCCGAGTCCTGGGCAGCATGAGGAGGCCGCCTTTGGAAGAGCCTGGTCCTTGTGTCTGCCACCCCTCTGATCCTGGAGTAGCTTCCCCAGGGAGGATGGACAGTCCAGGTCACAGTGTAATGACTTCAATGGATGTGACAGTAATTCCTTCTCCACAATAACCCAAAAACCTGCTGCTGAGGTGAACAGAGACATGGGAAGACCCACCCAGAGGAGACCTCTGCTTCCCTCCTTCAGCCAGAGGGAAAGCAAGGCCTTGCACATCGTCCAGGGAATGTCCAAGAGACCAAAATATCTTGCTCTAGCTCTGCCCACGAATACTACATGTGCATCTGGGGACATCTGACTAGATATTACCAAACAGCTTCCCAGCATAGCCATGGTTAAAGGCTGGACCCAGCATAGGACAGAGAATCACATCCAGGCCTAGCTTCTTCCATTTAGCAATGAATTCTGTGCGGTAAACCTGCAGGGAAAGAGAGAGGAGATGACAGACAGTCTGGTGGACAGAAGATATCTCTAGGGCAAGCATTTCTGGTGGTTTTAGAGGAAGGAAAAAAATCCATAAAAGAAACACCCAAGATCTTTGCATTCCAGACATTCCCATCAGTCCAGTGACTAGGCTGGTTTATGAGATGATTCCTTGTTCAACAGCATATTGGACCTGCTGCAAATGGGTACATATTTCCATTGAGTGACTGACAGTGGCAGGGGCTGTCTGGTGAGGCCATTCCATTCTTGGGAAGGGCTATAAAGGTGTCCCAGGAACACAGATCCTGCCTTGTGGGAAGACACTAAAACCGTTCAGCTACCGTAGCCTTGCAAAATACCAGGTGAAAGGGGACACAATTGCTGTCTATAAATAGACTAAGGTAAGGGAGGCAGTGGAGAAATATAGAAGAGAAAAGGTATTTAGACCTGAGGACAAGAA